AAAAGTGTTAAACAAATCAAAATATATTTTATATTTGAAATTCTTCAAATAGCCACCCTTTGCCTTGATGACAGCTTTGCACACTCTTGGCATTCTCTCAACCAGCTTCATCTGGAATGATTTTCCAATATTCTTGAAGGAGTTCCCGCATATGCTGAGCACTTGTTCGCTGCTTTACTTTCACTCTGCGGTCCGACTCATCCCAAACCATCTCCATTGGGTTGAGGTCGGGTGATTGTTGAGGCCAGGTCATCTGATGCAGCACTACATCACTCTCCTTCTTGGTAAAATAGCCCTTACACAGCCTGGAGGTGTGTTGGGTCATTGTCCTGTTGAAAAACAAATGATAGTCCCACTAAGCCCAAACCAGATGGGATGGCATATTGCTGCAGAATGCTGTGGTAGCCATGCTGGTTAAGTGTGCCTTGAATTCAAAAAAAATCACAGACAGTGTCACCAGCAAAGCACCCCCACACCATAACACCTCCTCCTCCTTGCTTTACGGTCGGAAATATACATGCGGAGATCATCCATTCACCCACACCACGTCTCACAAAGACACGGCGGTTGGAACCAAAAATCTCAAATTTGGACTCATCAGACCAAAGGACACATTTCTATTGTCCATTGCTCGTGTTTCTTGGCCCAAGCAAGTCTCTTCTTATTATTCGTGTCCTTTAGTAGTGGTTTCTTTGCAGTAATTCGACAATGAAGGCCTGATTCACACAGTCTCCTCTGAACAGTTGATGTTGAAATTGCATTTATTTGGGATGCAATTTCTGAGGCTGGAAATTCTAATTAACTTATCCTCTGCAGCAGAGGTAACTCTGGGTCTTCCATTCCTGTGGCGGTACTCGTGTTAGCCAGTTTTCATCATAGCGCTTGATGGTTTTTGTGACTGCACTTGAAGAAACTTTCAAAGTTCTTGAAATGTTCCGTATTGACTGACCTTCGTGTCTTAAAGTAATGATGGACTGTTGTTTCTCTTTGCTTATTTGAGCTGTTCTTGCCATAATATGGACTTGGTCTTTTACCAAATAGGGCTTCTGTATAACCCCCCTACCTTGTCACAACACAACTGATTGGCTCAAACGCATTAAGAAGGAAAGAAATTCCACAAATTAACTTTTAAGAAGGCACACCTGTTAATTGAAATGCATTCCAGGTGACTACCTCATGAAGCTGGTTGAGAGAATGCCAAGATTGTGCAAAGCTGTCATCAAGGCAATGGGTGGCTATTTGAAGAATGTCAAATATAAAATATATTTGGATTTGTTTAACACTTTTTTGGTTACCACATGATTCCATATGTGTTATTTCATAGTTTTGATGTCTTCACTATTATTCTACAATGTAAAAAATGATTACTTTATCCTATCCCAGGTATTCCTTGAAGAGGTGGGGTTTCAAATGTCTCCGGAAGGTGGTGAGTGACTCCGCTGTCCTGGCGTCGTGAGGGAGCTTGTTCCATCATTGGGGTGCCAGAGCAGCGAACAGTTTTGACTGGGCTGAGCGGGAACTATGCTTCCGCAGAGGTAGGGGAGCCAGCAGGCCAGAGGTGGATGAACGCAGTGCCCTCGTTTGGGTGTAGGGACTGATCAGAGCCTGAAGGTACGGAGGTGCCGTTCCCCTCACAGCTCCGTAGGCAAGCACCATGGTCTTGTAGCAGATGCGAGCTTCAACTGGAAGCCAGTGGAGTGTGCGGAGGAGCGGGGTGACGTGAGAGAACTTGGGAAGGTTGAACACCAGACGGGCTGCGGCATTCTGGATGAGTTGTAGGGGTTTAATGGCACAGGCAGGGAGCCCGGCCAACAGCGAGTTGCAGTAATCCAGACGGGAGATGACAAGTGCCTGGATTAGGACCTGTGCCGCTTCCTGTGTAAGGCAGGGTCGTACTCTCCGAATGTTGTAGAGCATGAACCTACAGGATTGGGTCACCGCCTTAATGTTAGCGGAGAACGACAGGGTGTTGTCCAGGGTCACGCCAAGGCTCTTCGCACTCTGGGAGGAGGACACAACGGAGTTGTCAACCGTGATGGCGAGATCATGGAACGGGCAGTCCTTCCCCGGGAGGAAGAGCAGCTCTGTCTTGCCGAGGTTCAGCTTGAGGTGGTGATCCGTCATCCATACTGATATGTCTGCCAGACATGCAGAGATGCGATTCGCCACCTGGTTATCAGAAGGGGGAAAGGAGAAGATTAGTTGTGTGTCGTCAGCGTAGCAATGATAGGAGAGGCCATGTGAGGATATGACAGAGCCAAGTGACTTGGTGTATAGCGAGAATAGGAGAGGGCCTAGAACTGAGCCCTGGGGGGACACCAGTGGTGAGAGCACGTGGTGCGGAGACAGCTTCTCGCTACGCCACTTGGTAGGAGCGACCGGTCAGGTAGGACGCAATCCAAGAGTGAGCCGCGCCGGAGATGCCCAGCTCGGAGAGGGTGGAGAGGAGGATCTGATGGTTCACAGTATCAAAGGCAGCAGACAGGTCTAGAAGGACAAGAGCAGAGGAGAGAGAGTTAGCTTTAGCAGTGCGGAGAGCCTCTGTGACACAGAGAAGAGCAGTCTCAGTTGAATGACCAGTCTTGAAACCTGACTGGTTTGGATCAAGAAGGTCATTCTGAGAGAGATAGCAAGAGAGTTGGCTAAAGACGGCACGCTCAATAGTTTTGGAGAGAAAAGAAAGAAGGGATACTGGTCTGTAGTTGTTGACATCGGAGGGATCGAGTGTTGGTTTTTTGAGAAGGGGTGCAACTCTCGCTCTCTTGAAGACGGAAGGGACATAGCCAGTGGTCAAAGGATGAGTTGATCAGCGAGGTGAGGTAAGGGAGAAGGTCACCGGAGATGGTCTGGAGAAGAGAGGATGGGATAGGGTCAAGCGGGCAGGTTGTTGGGTGGCCTGCCGTCACAAGTCGCAAGATTTAAGGGTAAGGGGACTTGGATTGGGGGAAGGGGTAAATAACTTTATAAAAAATAGAAAGTAGGAGATGGAAACTTGTTCTTCGGGCTACTGTGTCACGCCCTGGCTCTGGGGACTCTAGTATGTTGAGCCAGGGTGTGAGTTTTCATTTGTGTTTGTTCTAGTTTAGTATTTCTATGTTGGCCAGTGTGGTTCTCAATCAGAGGCAACGTGTATCAGCTGTTGCTTGTTGTCTCTGATTGGGAACCATACTTAGGCAGCCAGTTTTCCCACAGTGTTTGTGGGATCTTGTTCCTGTATAGGTTTGTGTTTGAACCGAGGACGTCACGTTATCGTTTGTTGTTTTTGTTCGTGTGATCATTCAAATAATAAAAATATGTTCACCTTCCACGCTGCGCCTTGGTCCTCTGTTCCCGACGATACTGATAGAAGATCCCACCAAAACTGGACCAAGCAGCGTGTCCAGGAGCCATCGCCAGGAAAATCTCAAGTGGATCTCCTTCGCCTCCTCGACTGGGTCAAGCCGTGTGAGGAAGAGAGAGGCTGGACTTGGAAGCAGAAGGGCGAAAGTCTGGCGAGAGACATGGAGACCTGGTCCACGGGAAGGAGAGACGGCCAGACATTTTTTAGGGGGAGGCTCACGCCGTGGACGACGGGGCAGCAGGAGGCCGCCAGGTTACGGGAGTCACTGGTCACCAGGGGGAAGGAGGATGTAGAGGCACGGCGAGAGGTACTGGGGTGTGTTGCCAGTCCGGTCCGGCCTGTTCCTGATCCCCGCGTAGGGCCAGTGGTGTGTGTTCCCAGTACGGTCCGGCCTGTTCCTGCCACTCGCACCAAGCCTACGGTGCGCTTCGCCAGCCCGGCCCATTCCTGCTCCCCGCACCAAGTCAGTGGTGCGCTTCGTCAGCCCGGCTCGGCCCGTTCCTGCTCCCCGCACCAAGTCAGTGGTGCGCTTCGTCAGCCCGGCTCGGCCCATTCCTGCTCCCCGCACCAAGTCAGTGGTGCGCTTCGTCAGCCAGCCCGGCCCATTCCTGCTCCCCGCACCAAGTCAGTGGTGCGTTTCGTCAGCCCGGCTCGGCCCGTTCCTGCTCCCCGCACCAAGTCAGTGGTGCGCTTCGTCAGCCCGGTCCGGCCCGCTCCTGCTCCCCGCACCAAGTCAGTGGTGCGTTTCGTCAGCCCGGCTCGGCCCGTTCCTGCTCCCCACACCAAGCCAGTAGTGTGCGTCATCAGTACGGCACAGCCCATGCCTGTTCCACCGGTGCCTGGTTTGGCACGGGTCAGCTGCGTCACGCCGGAGCTAGAGCAATCCGCTCCACCGGTGTGCAGTCCAGCTCCGGTCAGCAGGGTCAGTTGGGACCAGGGGTACTTTGGGGGGTTAGAGAGGGAGTGGGGGATCATGCCCGGAGCCGGATCCGCCGCCAAGGCAGAGTGCCCACCCAGTCCCTCCCCTGTGGTGTTTTGTTGGCGCGGTCGGAGTCCGCGCCTTTGGGGGGGGGTACTGTCACGCCCTGGCTCTGGGGACTCTAGTATGTTGAGCCAGGGTGTGAGTTTTCATTTGTGTTTGTTCTAGTTTAGTATTTCTATGTTGGCCAGTGTGGTTCTCAATCAGAGGCAACGTGTATCAGCTGTTGCTTGTTGTCTCTGATTGGGTAACATACTTAGGCAGCCAGTTTTCCCACAGTGTTTGTGGGATCTTGTTCCTGTATAGGTTTGTGTTTGAACCGAGGACGTCACGTTATCGTTTGTTGTTTTTGTTCGTGTGATCATTCAAATAATAAAAATATGTTCACCTTCCACGCTGTGCCTTGGTCCTCTGTTCCCGACGATCGTGACACACTGGGAAGGGAGTAGTGTTTTGTAATTTTTGAATAGTGGGTTGTAGTTATTTTGGATGTTGTTTGTGTTTCCATTGAGTTCTGTGCATTTTTTAAAAATCAACTTACAGTGCAATAAATAGGTTGGTTAAAGGCCTCAAAATGTTTACGATATCAGCGGGAGTAAGACTGGATAAAATCACAATAAAATAGATCAAATATCCACTCTAAAAATGGTTTTAAAAGTAGTTTAAACGTGATAAATATGCTCAATATTTAGGAAGCGCAGAGAGGTGGGTGCTGGATAAAGTTCTGGGCGGGTCAGCTTGTTCCTCCCATATCATGGGTTTCAGAGATGGATTGTCCACTGACCTGAGGGTAAACCTGCGCCCCAGAACAGCCTCTCCTCTAGTGTTCTCACTCCTGAAAGTTAATGTATGTAGTGTGTGTTTGTGTACGTGGGGAGTCTGTATGCCATCTTGATGGCAAGGTTTTGAATGGTCTTTTCTGACATGGGACCTCCCCACGTCCCACCAGGCTGGTGTAGCATACTCAAAGTGCGGCCGAATGTAGCTCTGCAACACTCTGAAGTCTGTTCCGGGCGTGGCTCCTCCTTTTCTTCTGCAGAGTACCCTCAGGTGGTTCAGGCGCTTCCTTCCATCCTTCTCCAGGCACTCCATGTGGGCACTCCAGGACATGTTTTCTTGGAATGTGACCCAAGGAACTTGGCCGTTGGGGTTGTCTGGAGTGCCTGTCCATAAAGTTTAAAATGCACTTGCTTGGGGTGCCTGGAGAAGAGGACTCACTGGGTCTTCAGGGGGTAGAGCTTGACCCACCACAGATTGACCCACTTCTCGGTCTCTGATAGATATTCTTCTGTAGCTTTGTTCTAGCATGGGCAAAGTTTTTGGAGGAGGCACAATAACAGAGATCATCTGCGAACTGGGCCACTTGTCCCTCTCTTGGGTAATAAATATCACAGATGTACATTATAAACTGTAGAGGACTGAGGGTGGAGCCTTGGGGTACTCCCACCTCTGGAGAGAACCTGAATGATGTGGCTCCTCCCACCCTCACTGCTATCTCCCGCTGATTTAAAAAGCTGTTTAAAAGACTGACCAGCTGACCATCTATAATCTGTAGGGAACACAATATATGGTCTATACTTGGCATGTAGGTTTCTCACTTATGGGTGGCACAAATTGGGATATGGGGGAGGGGAATGGGAAGGGCGGCAGGTAGCTTAATGCTTAAGAGCGTTGTGCCAGTAACCGAAAGGTCGCTGGTTCTAATCCCTGAGCCGACTAGGTGAAAAATCTGTCGATGTGCCCTTGAGCAAGGCACTTAACCCTAATTGCTCCTGTAAGTCGCTCTGGATAAGAGCATCTGCTAAATGACTAAAAAATAAAAAATATATGCTAATTGAATACCATAGCATTTACTATAGTTGTTGTGTCAATTCCTGACTACAAGCTATACCGAGCACTCAAGCCTAAATCCACCCAGGGTGCTCAAAGCACTCCCAACCTGCAGGGGGCAACCATACAACCGGAGCTGTTGAAACCAACCACCAGGAAGTGCTCTGGGGACCATATTAACCTGCGCACCCACAAGCAGTGCATGTGCATGGCATCGAAATGTTTGGTAAAAGCTTACTTGGCTCTCACTCATTCCTGAGAAAAAGTTCACTTTTACCAAACTTGACAGTTGATAACCAGCGCGGCAGTGAGGACGAGGATCAAAGGGCTGAAGTCAAGCTGTCGACGCAAAGGAAGAATTGCCTGTAAAACTCTACACCATGGCCAAGGAAACTTTTGGGAAAACAGTCAAGCAACTGAAGCAAGAGCGGACCTTAGCCAAATCTGCTTTCACCAGACAAGCGAACTACCTGAGTAAAGCTGCAGCTAGTATGATTAAGCATGAACTACAAGAGGAGTTCAGCAAGCTCAGTTCCCTGGCTAGAAGTGTCGGTGATTCAAATGATGACTACGCGGTTGGCCTACTGGCTGAAGCGGGAACTAAGGGAGATGAAGAGGTCAAGCTCGACAAGGACCAGCAGGCTGATCTTGAAAGGACGATTGAAGAGTGCGACATGAAATTGGAGGAAATCCGAGAGGCAGTCCAATTCAACCTCTGGCCACGATACGGTAAAGAGGAGGTAGACTTTGCAATCCAAGAAGCGGAGAAAGCCTGTGACAGAGCCAAAGAAACCCCCGTCACTGCTATTAACAGGGACGGCTATGAACTACAGCTGGAAAGAGCGAGGAAGCTAATCCATGATGCAAGTGAAAGCCTGAAAGACTGGGAAAAATGGGTCCCACACGATGAGACTGCAGATCTGAAAGGCAGAGTAAAAGATCTGAGAATATTCGGCAGTAACCTCGAGGCCAAAATAACAGAATTCCTCATCGCACAGAGAATTGCAGAAGAGGACAGAAGACCTACAGAGCTTCAACCAATAGCAGTCCCACAACCAGTGGTGAGAATAAAACCAACCAGTCTACCTAAATTCACTGGGCTTAGGAGGAATTTCCACAGATGGAGGAAAGACTGGGAGAGCCTACAAAAGCAGGGAGAGCCGACTGGTTCAGTGGAGGTGAAGAAGTTTCAACTTCTTGACAGTGTGGACGAGAGAATATGTAGAGACCTGCGCCTGTCAACATATAACAGTGCTGAAGACATGTTTAGAGTACTCCAAAACCGGTATGGAAACAAGCCAACAATCGCTTTGGAGATAATTGAGGACCTGGAGAGGGTCCCTCCTTTAAAGTCACACCAACCAAGGAAGGTTATTGACCTGATTCAAGCTGTGGAAAAGGCCCTGAATGACCTCACGGAGCTCGAAAGCAGTGGAGCCATAAGGAATCCCCTTGTCATCAGATCCATAGAGAGCAAGCTGCCGGATAACATGAAGAGGGACTGGCTGACATTCATGGTCAACCCAAGAAATGGAGTCACACCTGACAATCACTTCGACAGCCTTCTAAGATTTTTAAAGACACAAGAAGACATACTGGAGAAACTAGACCAGTTGGGTGTAAGTGAAAAACCTGAAAAGAAAGCTACGTACCCGGAGAAGCGGTATGCTTCCACAAGGTCCACGAGAAAGGGAGGATGCGTTGTGTGTGGAGATGAAAAGCACCGTGAGAAGATTTTCTTTTGTAAGCAGTTCAAAGAACTAAAGCCTAGTGAGAAGCTGAATGCTGTCGAAAGACTGGGAGCATGCAGAAGATGCCTCAGATGTCATGGAGAGGATGAGGAATGTACGGACACTTACCTTTGCAGAAACAGAGACTGCAAAAGAGGAAGCTCCTCGGATCACCATTTCTTTCTCTGCCTTAAAGGAGGGGCTAAGAGGAAAGAATACGTGAAAGTGGAAAAACCCAGCACCAGGAGGCAAACATTCACAGAGGAGCAAGAGAGATTAATACGTGAGCTCACCCCGGACATGGCAGAAAAATTCAGGAATGCTTTCACCAACATGGCAAAATCACACTGCACTGGAGGAAGCCTTCCTGGGGTAATGGACTCAAGCACACGTGAATTACCAGTTATTCTTATGCTTCTCGAAGTAACTACTAACGCAGGGCAGAAAATTGGAACTCTCATTGACTTAGCATCAGACACCAACTACATCACTCACACAGCCGCCAGGAGACTGAAGCTTCGAAGTGAAAGGATCACACTAGTCGTCCATGGAGTTGGAGGCATGGCCATGAAGGTGAAGACCAAAAGATACTTACTCAAGGTGAGAGTCAAGACACCGAGAGGCACGGAGAAAGCTCATGAGCTGATCTGTTATGGGTTGGATGAAATTGCAAAAGTTCACAGAGCAATCAAAGCACAACACCTCAAGAAGTTATTCCCCGATACCAACCTGGAAGACCTTCACAGACCAGAACATGTTGAGCTTCTCATAAGCCACCGTGAAGGAAGACTTGCTCCACAGAGAGTAAAGGTAGTAGGAGATCTTGTCCTGTGGGAGAGCCCTTTAGGAAAGACCGTTGGAGGAGCACATCCAGACCTCTGTGAAGTAGTGGACATGGCCCTGCACAATTCTGAAACTCATTTTGCACGATCTATGAGAATCACAGCAGTAAAGTATCAAGAAATTGCTGAGATGCAAGAATCTAGAGCTGAAACTAAAACCACTGTTATTGGCAAAGAGTTCTTGGACTGGTGGAAGTGGGACAGCATTGGTGCGGCCTGTGAACCCATGTGTGGAGGATGTTGTTGTGGTAACTGTCAACCAGGAGGCAAAGACATGACTCTTAGTGAAGAAAGAGAGCTTGAGATAATCAGGCAAGGTCTCAGTTACGTGGAGTCAGATGTGCATAGTCAGGAGCCTCACTGGGACACAAAATACCCTTGGATTGAAGATCCAAGTTCCCTGCCCAACAACAGAAGCGCAGTGGAAGCCACGTTTCTGAGGACGGAGAAACAACTCAAGAGAGAACCAGATTGGCGTGCAGCATACACAACTCAAGTTCATGAGATGGTGGAAAGGAAGGCAGCAAAGAAACTCACTAGAAAGACCATTGCCGACTGGAAAGGTCCAGTATGGTACGTCAGTCACTTGATAGCACCAAACCCACACTCTGTAACTACACCTGTCCGACTGGTATGGAACAGCAGCCAGAGGTTTAGAGGAAGCAGCATGAATGACCTTCTTCTGAAAGGGCCTGAGGTACTTAATCCTATTCGAGCGGTACTGCTAAGGTTCAGGAGAGGAATCCATGCTGCTCTCGGCGACATCAAAAAGATGTACAATTCTGTGTGGCTCGAAGACCTGGAGATGCACCTCCATAGATTCCTCTGGAGAGACGGTGATGATGGGGACATTGAGGAATATGCCATCACCAGGGTCAACATGGGCGATCGTCCAGCAGGGTGTATCGCACAACTAGCCATGAGAGAAACAGCGAAGTTGCCCATGTTCACACATCTGAAAGAGGAACGGAGGGTCCTTGAAGAGGATTCCTACGTAGATGACATCCTGACATCCCATAATGACCTGGAAAAGCTAGACAGAACCACCAAAAAAGTTGAAGAAATCCTAAAGGCAGGTGGATTCTTCCTCAAGCCGTGGGTCCGATCAGGCCAAAGTGGGAGGCAAACATCTACATCAGAACATCCAACATCGTCAGATGAAGTCTTCATCCTCCCCAACCAAGTGAGAGAAGGAGACAACAGAGCCCTTGGAGTTGGTTATTTAGTCGAATCAGACAAACTGTACCTCATGACCTCGATAAACTTCTCAAAGAGACAAAAGAAGATGAGGATCAGTCAAGATCTCGTTGGAGAGGAAGTGAGAATGAAAACTCCAAACCCACTGACCAGAAGGCAACTGCTTAGCCAAGTAGCTAGTTTGTATGACCCAACAGGCCTTGCAACACCTGCCAAACAGAAAGGAGCCATTGTAGTCAGAAAAGCATTCCAAGAAACTGGAGGCAAAGCTCTAACAAGAGACACATGGGACACACCTCTGTCTGAGAAACTTAGAGGAGAAGCAATCCACCTGTTTGAGGAATACACACGCCTCAACCAAATTACCTTCCATAGAAGCCTGACTCCAGTCAAAAGGATTGGAGAACCCTGGGGAATAACATTCTCAGATGGGAGCGACCAGAGTTATGGAGCAGTGGCATACTTCAGGTGGGAGACCGAGCAAGGCATCCTGGTCCGACTTGTTGAGTCCAAAGCCAAGCTTACACCACTTGACCAAAAGGGAGAACCAGTGAAGGCTGAAGTCTGTGGTGCTGTGTTCGCTGCAAGACTCAGGAAATACATTGAAAAGCACAGTCGGATGCAAGTAGGACGTTGGATCCATCTGTTAGATAGTCAAACTGTGCTGGGTGCAATCCAAAGGGACAGTTATGGGTACCAGACCTTTTTTGCAAACAGAGTGGGAGAGATCCAGAAGTCCACATCAGTTGAGGACTGGAGATGGATTCCAGGTGAGCAAAACATTGCTGACCTCATGACAAGAGGAGCAACCCCAGAGGACCTCAAAGAGAACTCTGTGTGGCAGAACGGCCCAGAGTTTCTGAAACGACCTGTAGAGGATTGGCCGACAAAGTCAGCCAAAGAAGTCGCTGCAGATGCCAAAGAAGGCATAAACAAGCTCCAAAGGAAATGTTTTACAGCAGCACTGACCCGAGCGCAGGTGGGGAAAAAAAATCCAACATGCTCCACGTATACCAATATCTCCAACCTCTGACAAAGGTAAAGACCTGCAAAGCAGCCCTAATGGAAGAGGGCACCAAATCCAAGTCCAAAGACCACCTTCGGGTTATTCAGTGGGGAATATCCTTAACATCAGCAAGTTCAGCAGTTTAACCAGGTTGACAAGAGTCATTGCCTGGGTGTGGAGAGCTGCCACAAGGTGGAAAGAAATGCTAGCCAAGACCACCACCACAAGCAAGCCAAAGAAAAAGGAAATTCCTTCAGCTCTTGAGATCAAGTCCAGAATCAAGAAAGCTACACTTACCATCATGGAGTGTGAAGATGCACTCAGGGATCTCTTCCTTGCAGCCCAAAAGGATGTAACCTGGCCAGACACCACACTCAGCAGGCTTGCTGTGGTCAAAGAGGAAAACACTGGACTCTTGCTCTGTGGAGGAAGATTCCAAATCTTTAATGAAGAAAAAACTGCAGTACCAATCTTGCCCTGCACGTCATGGGTATCCACCCTTCTAGCTCAAGAAGCCCACAAGACAAATCATGAAGACATCGCAGGCACACTCCTCCGGATGAGAAGGAAAGCGTGGGTGGTAAGAGGCCGGAAACTAGCTCAAAAGATCGTTGATAACTGTGTGACATGCAGGAAACTTAAGGCCCGGAGATGCCAACAGATCATGAGTGACCTTCCATCGGAGAGAATAACACCAGCCAATCCCTTTGAGTACACCACAGTGGACTTATTTGGACCTTATGAAGTGAAGGATGAGGTGAGAAAGAAGGTGAAACTTAAGGTGTGGGGAATTGTCTTTTGCTGCATGGTGTCAAGAGCTATGCACACAGACCTTGTCAGCGACCAGTCAGCTGAAGGCTTCCTGTTAGCCTACCAAAGATTTACGGCACTGAGAGGGCATCCAAGGAAATTGTGGTCGGATCCTGGAAAAAACTTTGTCGAAGCCAGACCTGCCCTCAAAGAACTCTACATGTTTCTGGACCGGCTGGAGAAGTCGAAGCTTGAAAACGACGTTTCCAAGCATGGCACAGAATGGAGCTGGAGGATCCATCCAGCAGACTCACCTCACAGAAACGGAGCTGCTGAAGCCGCTGTCCGAACTGTGAAGCGGGCTTTACACAATCTGGGAGGTAATGGAGTCCTCACATGGGGTGAATTTCAGACTTTCCTTTATATGGCTTCCAACCTTGCCAATGAGCGGCCTATTGATGCCAGGACTCAGAGCAGAGAGGACTGTGTAGAATACATTAGCCCAAATTCACTTCTACTCGGACGAACCGGACCCAGAGGAGATCCAGGGACTTTTGACTTTGAAGGTTACTCCTACAAGAGATTAAGAACCATCCAAACAGAAGTTGACCGATTCTGGAGGAAATGGAGTCAGTTAGCCGGACCAAACCTGTTTGTCCGGACCAAGTGGCACACCGCTCACAGGAATGTGGCAATTGGAGATGTCGTCTGGCTGGCCGACCAGAACGCCTTGAGAGGTCAGTACAGGCTTGCCAGAGTTATTGACGTTAACACTGACAAGAAGGGAATTGTGAGGGATGTATATCTCCGATCCTTCCCCAGCTACCCAGTCGCAACTGTGAAGCCCACTAAAAAGATGGAAAAAGATTCAATCAAGATACCAGCAACAGTTCTTCACAGGGATGTCAGACGGATAGTTGTCTTGCTTCCAGTTGAAGAGCAGCAGCAACAGGATCAAAAATAGAGTAACTGAATCCAACACATCACAGTTCTGTGTGACCTCCTTGGGTTGAAGAACCAGGAGGTCAAGTGGGAGGTGTTGTGTCAATTCCTGACTACAAGCTATACCGAGCACTCAAGCCTAAATCCACCCAGGGTGCTCAAAGCACTCCCAACCTGCAGGGGGCAACCATACAACCGGAGCTGTTGAAACCAACCACCAGGAAGTGCTCTGGGGACCATATTAACCTGCGCACCCATAAGCAGTGCATGTGCATGGCATCGAAATGTTTGGTAAAAGCTTACTTGGCTCTCACTCATTCCTGAGAAGAGATACCAATGACCACAGCTCCTGATCATCCAAAGACGCAACTGGTAGGACAGAATGTGTTGAAATGTGTTGAATTCATGCTTCTATATGCCCTTTTGTTTGGTTGTAACATACAATACAATTATTAATTAAATTAAATAGTGAAGACTTCATTATGTGAACGTAGAACTTGACAGTAACGTTACTATAATCATGTGTATTGTTAAATGTTTAATTATGATATTGATATTTAATTATTAACTTGCAATGATCCTAGGTTAATCTAAATGATGAAATGATTGTTTGGTTAGGTTTGAGGATTCAGTAACATTAGTTTATGCTTATTTTTGAGAAAGTGGAATTGAGAGTTATTTGTAACTAATCCATGGTTTTTTGTTTGTGTGTTTTGAAGGTTATCAACCTATTCTGTTCCATCTTTATGACAATAAAAAATCATAAAGTGAACAGTTTTGAGTTGTCCTTTGCGTTCATCAAGGATAAAGCCGTTTTCAAGTTTGGGCAGAGCTGTGGTCAGCCAGAAATCACGCATAACTTGACAATAGTTAAAAGAAAGGTAGTGTTTTTGCAAACTGTAGTGTTTTTACAGACATTTCTGTAGTATTTACTACAGTGTCTTTTTCTGGATAATACTGTAGTAGTTACTATAGTATTCTACAGTATACTACACAATTTGATACTAAGTACTACACATGCTCAAGGAATACAACAGTGTGTAATGTAGTCTTCTGCAGTATACTACAGTTTACAACAGAATTCTATAGTAAGTACTGTGGTATTCTATAGTAAACTGTAGTATTTTGTTATGTGTGTAGTGCACTATAAAGGGAATAGGGTGCCGTTTGAGACGCAACCAGTGTGGTCTGAACCAGTGTGGTCTGAATGACAATTAGTGTGAAGGAGGTTTAGTGTTTACCCATTCTGAGACAGTCCACAGTGGCGTGGGCCCAGTTCTCCACCAAAGAGTTGAGGAAGGCATAGCAGTAACCCCTGAAGGGAACCCACGTCTTGCGTTTCTTGGGCTCGGGGCACTTGCCAGGGAGCTGAGGGGGCTGAGTGGGGGCTATGTCTGTAAAATAAGGCAGAGAAGTCCTAATATGGACACTGTATACACTGAAGTTGATCTGAGAGAAGACATACAGTATATGGTAAATGTTCATGGATGGAAAATGGATACATAAAGGCATACAACATCTTTATTAGCCACATTTGGGGATTTATAAACTATTAAGCATAGACAGTGGGAAAATGGAGTAAAGGCCTTGTCTGACCTGGTGATTTCTTGCACAGTGAGTAGTAGGTGTTACTACAGTCGCCTGTCTTCCACTTGGCGTCTGTGTCCATGTAAACACAGGCCATGTTGTTCTTAGGCTCGTCTTCCCCCCATTTGGTGTAAAACAGAGGCCATTTATCCACCCACCTAAAAAGCCCTTCAGTCTGAGAGACAGAGAAAAGGACAATGACGAAAACACACAATGACGGCAAGGTCCAGCCGAAAGCTTATAGGTTTACAAACACAAAACCTCTTTGGTATCTTAAATGAACACTTTGGAGCTACACTAGCTCTTAAACCAAAGCCAGAGTCCTACACTGTTGTTTTGAGGATGTTTGGGGGTGCTGGGGGGGGGGAGAATAAAAAATCCCTTTTATAATAAAGCATTGCATGCTTCTAATATTATAGTATAATCACATTTGCATAGTGGCATGCAGTTGAGCAGACACGTATTTATGATTTCCAAACATAGGGATTCTTTTTTAGCAGGGTCTGGGAATGTTCTTCCTTTTATAAACGCATTTAATGCAATTCTACGGAATTTACATAATAGACAACATTAGCAGAATTAAATCAAAATCAAATGTATTTATAAATCCCTTTCTACATCAGCAGATGTAATATTGGGAAAAATATTTTTTAATACTACACAAATGACCGAAATGAGTGGCTACTCTGACAGTGACAAACTGAGAGCAATAAAACGTCTTGGTCTTGAATGCAAACAATAGCCCAGGCCATTGAATAAACACAAATTGTACAATATTAGGAAGAATACATACAGTTGAAGTCGGAAGTTTACATACACCTTAGCCAAATACATTTAAACTCAGTTTTTCACAATTCCTGACATTTAATCCTAGTAAAAAATCCCTGTCTTAGGTCAGTTAGGATCACCACTTCATTTTAAGAATGTGAAATGTCAGAATAATAGTAGAGATAATGATTCATTTCAGCTTTTATTTATTGCATCATATTCCCAGTGGGTCAGAAGTTTACATACACTCAATTAGTATTTGGTAGCATTGCCTTTAACTTGTTTAACTTGGGTCAAACGTGTCATGTAGCCTTCCACAAGCTTCCCACAATAAGTTGGGTGAATTTTGGCCCATTCCTCCTGACAGAGCTAATGTAACTGAGTCAGGTTTGTAGGCCTCCTTGCTCGCACACGCTTTTTCAGATCTGCCCACAAATGTTCTATAGGATTGAGGTCAGGGCTTTGTGATGGCCACTCCAATACCTTGACTTTGTTGTCCTTAAGCCATTTTGCCACAACTTTGGAAGTATGCTTGGGGTCATTGTCCACTTGGAAGACCCATTTGCGACCAAGCTTTAACTTCCTGACTGATGTCTTGAGATGTTACTTCAATATATCCACATAATCTTCCTTCCTCATGATGCCATCTATTTTGTGAAGTGCACCAGTCCCTCCTGCCATCCCCGTGCTTCATGGTTGGGATGGGGTTCTTCGGCTTGCCAGCACCCCCTTTTTCCTCCAAACATAACGATGGTCATTATGGCCAAACAGTTCTATGTCTAGAGGACATTTCTCCAAAAAGTATGATCTTTGTCCCCATGTGCAGTTGAAAACTGTAGTCTGGCTTTTTTTGGTGGTTTTGGAGCAGTGGCTTCTTCCTTGCTGAGTGGCCTTTCAGGTTATGTTGATATAGGACTCGTTTAACTGTGACTATAGATACTTTTGTACCTGTTTCCTCCAGCATCTTCACAAGGTCCTTTGCTGTTGTTGTGGGATTGATTTGCACTCTTCGCACCAAAGTACATTAATCTCTAGGTGACAGAACACGTCTCCTTCCTGAGCGTTATGACAGCTGCGTGGTCCCATGGTGTTTATACTTGCGTACTATTGTTTGTACAGGTTAACGTGGTACCTTCAGGCATTTGGAAATTGCTCCCAAGGATGAACCAGACTTGTGGAGGTCTACAATTTTTTTCTGAGGTCTTGGCTGATTTCTTTTGATTTTCCCATGATATCAGAGACACTGAGTTTGAAGGTAAGCCTTGAAATACATCCACAGGTACACCTCCAATTGACTCAAATGATGTCAAGTAGCCTATCAGAAGCTTCTAAAGCCATGACATAATTTCCTGGAATTTTCCAAGCTGTTTAAAGGCACAGTCAACTTAGTGTATGTCAACTTCTGACCCACTAGAATTGTGATACAGTGAATTATAAGTGAAATAATCTGTCTGTAAACAATTGTTGGAAAAATGACTTGTGTCATGCACAAAGTAGATGTCCTAACCGACTTGCCAAAACTATTGTTTGTTAACAAGAAATTTGTGGAGTGGTTGAAAAACACGTTTTAATGACTCCATCCTAAGTGTATGTAAACTTCCGACTTTAACTGTATGTATACAGTACCAGTCAAAAGTTTGGACACATTGTAGAATATGTCACACCCTGGCTCTGGGACTCATTATGTTGAGCCAGGGTGTGTTCATTCTATGTGTGTATTTCTATGTTGGTAATTCTAGTTTGTTGATTTCTAGGTTTTGCCTGAGTGACTCCCAATCAGAGGCAACGAGTGTCAGCTGTTGGCTGGTTGTCTCTGATTGGGAGACCATATTTAAACTGTATGTTTTCCCTTTGTGTTTGTGGGTTTTTGTTCCGTGTTTGGTCATTGATACCGTGGACGTCACGAGTCGTTTCTTGTTTTGTATTCATGTTTAAACTTTAACTAATTAAAGTATGTTTGTTCATCACGCTGCGCCTTGGTCTGTTCCATATGACGATCGTGACAGAAAAACCCACCATGCAACGACCAAGCAGCGTGTCCAGGGGCAGCTCTTGGGCTGGACATGGGAGGAAGCGCCAGGGAGAAGAGACGGTGGAGGCGCGCCGTAGAGAGGAGCAACGGCGTGATCAGGGTCTTCGTCGGGCGGTCGAGAGGCAACCCCAGAACATTTTTAGGGGGGGGGGCACACGGCATGGACGACGGGGCTGACGGAGGCAAAAGAGGGGCGGATTCTGGAGGCCACCAGGTTACGGATACACCGCCCTGTACGTCCTGTGCGGATGCCTCACACAGAGTGTGTGAGGGTAGGCATTCAGCCAGGACGGGTTGTGGCCGCTCTTCACTCCAGGGCTCCTATCCGTCTCCACAGCCCGGTTCGGCCTGTCCCTGCTCCACGCACCAAGCCTACGGTGTGCGTCGCCAGCCCAGTCCGGCCAGTCCCTGCTCCACGCACCAAGCCTACGGTGTGCGTCGACAGCCCAGCCCGGCCTGTCCCTGCTCCACGCACCAAGCCTACGGTGTGCGTCGCCAGCCCGGTCCGGCCTGTCCCTGCTCCACGCACCAAGCCTACGGTGTGCGTCGCCAGCCCAGTCCGGCCTGTCCCTGCTCCACGCACCAAGCCTACGGTGTGCGTCGCCAGCCCGGCCCGGCTTGTTCCTGCCACTCGCACCAAGTATACGGTGCGCGTCGCCAGCCCGGCCCGGCCTGTTCCTGCCACTCGCACCAAGTCTACGGTGCGCGTCGCCAGCCCGGCCCAGCTTGTTCCTGCCACTCGCACCAAGTATACGGTGCGCGTCGCCAGCCCGGCCCGGCCTGTTCCTGCCACTCGCACCAAGTCTACGGTGCGCGTCGCCAGCCCGGCCCGGCCTGTTCCTGCCACTCGCACCAAGTATACGGTGCGCGTCGCCAGCCCGGCCCGGCCTGTTCCTGCCACTCGCACCAAGTATACGGTGCGCGTCGCCAGCCCGGCCCGGCCTGTTCCTGCCACTCGCACCAAGTCTACGGTGTGCGTCGCCAGCCCGGCCTGGCCTGTTCCTGCCACTCGCACCAAGCCAGGGGTGCGAGTCGTCAGCCTGGTAAGGCCCATCCCTCCTCCACGCACCAAGCCAGGGGTGCGCGTCGTCAGCCTGGTAAGGCCCGTTCCTTCTCCACGCACCAAGCCAGGGTTGCGCGTCGTCAGTCCAGCACAACCCGTGCCTGGGTCACCGGTGCCTGGTAAGGTACCGGCCAACAGCTCCACTATGGAGCTGAAGCTAACCGCTCCTGCTAAGTCCAGTTCGGCTCCGGCCGGCGGGGCCAGACTGGACCAGGGGCGCTATGGGGGGTGTATTGGAGGGTGGTGGTCAAGGCCGGAGCCAGAACCGCCGCCGAGGAGGTATGCCCGCCCAGCCCTCCCCTGTTTTGTTTAGTTGAGGCGTCTGTCACAGGCTCTGGGACTCTATTTGTTGAGCCAGGGTGTGTTTATTCTATGTGTTTATTTCTATGTTGGGGGTTCTAGTTTGTTGATTTCTATGTTTGCCTGAGTGACTCCCAATCAGAGGCAACGAGTGTCAGCTGTTGGCTGGTTGTCTCTGATTGGGAGCCATATTTAAACTGTCTGTTTTCCCTTTGTGTTTGTGGGTTTTTGTTCCGTGTTCGGTCATTGATACCGTTGGACGTCACGAGTCGTTTCTTGTTTTGTATTGTGTTTAAACTTTAACTAATTAAAGTATGTTTGTTCATCACGCTGCGCCTTGGTCTGTTCCATATGACGATCGTGACAGAATAATAGTAAAGACATCAAAACTATGAAATAACACATATGGAATCATTTAGTAACCAAAAAAGTGTTAAACAAATAAAAATGTATTTTATATTTTAGATTCTTCAAAGTAGCCACACTTTGCCCTGATGACAGCTTTGCACAGTCTTGGTACAGATAATGATGATGAAGATGAAGATGAAGGCTACTCACTGGTGATGGCTGATGCACTCCTGCCAATAACCTATCTCAAGATAAGCTACTTTGAAAAACAGTGCAGTTCGCTCAGAATTGCTCAAAAGTTGAGAAAACTATTATTAGCTTCTACAGACAGATTAGTATTCTCTTTTCAGCAGTAGGCATTTGCTTTCCTAACTCTACATTTTCTCATGATTGTACTTTGAAATTTGTGAAAGTCAAACTGACAACCGCATCCAACCATAGAAATATAATCCATAGATGGCATTTCCCATTCATGTCAGGAAGCCAAATTATTTCAGCATAAGGAGGTGCTGCAGCACCTCCAGCACCCCTACTTCCCTATACACATTAGGTTATCTTTGACCTGCTGGGCCTTGTAATGAGGAAATTGAAGCTCACAAAGCTCCATATTTAGAGTTAGTGTGATCAACATAATTTATTTAGAATCTCTGTAACCCAAATGATTTACAGAGATCGATGTCAACACTACAGCCTTTTACCAGATTGTTGTTGAGGCCGATCCACACAGGCTCATTGTATTTGTGGATCTGCAGTGAGATGAATGCCTGGGTGATGGGGTTCAGGATGCTAGCCATCTCTGCATCGTCTGCTTTACATTGCCTCCTGGCCTCTTCCCATTTCATCTTCTGGGCCACCAATTTGAAGGAGTCATCGCCCAGCTTGTAAAAAGTATTTGTTGACACCGTGGTGGCAGGTACCACAATCTGAGAATCTGAAACCAAAGCAGACTTGATATTGGAGAACCTACATAGAAGTACTCTATTGGACCACATACCCAATAATTGGACGTGATCAGCGTCACTCCGGTTGCCGGTAACTTTCCCAAAATATCCAGGTTCTCCAGATATCCTTTCGGAGGATTCACAGATTCCTGGAAAACCTGGGAATTTTTTGAAAAGTTACTTGAATTTTGCATCCCTTTAGCAGCCTCACTGAACTATTGCGTCTTCTCACCAATATTCCTTTTGCAGATGAAACCACGGGACACTAAGCAGTCATTGACCATCCACATTCCTGTCTGTTTTGGAGAGCTGCCCACCAGAACCACACAGTCAAACACCTGGGAGTGAGGTTGGGAAGGATAGAGAAAGGTTAGATTCCTCTTTGGAATTCACATTTGACTGGTTAAGGTTGTCTTGAATTTACACTTATTGACAACAGGTCAATCAACATGTCAAAGCAAACATCTAAATTGCTGATTTCCCGGACCCAGATTTTAGGTAAAAAAATTATTTTCATTAGAGACTCTCCTTTGAAAGTAGATTTTCGTCTACCTACTTTCAAATATATATTTTTAATGATTTTTAACCTGTGTCCAGAAATCCCTTAAGCAGTTATATTTATTGTAAGCCTTGTACCTCGTCCATAAATGAATAGCGTCCGTCAGGCATTGACGTCGGATGCCCTTTGGCCCAGTTGGTATAGGAAACCCCTCTGCCCTCGGTCCATACGAAGCGCATCTCCCAGTTAATATCGTTCAGACCTATCCAGAGGTCCTGCTGATTCCCAAGCATTTGTGTGGTAAGGAATGCTGGAAAGGACAAGTAAGAACAAGGAAAAGGTAATACCACTGTCCAATCAGGTGATTCTTGAAAGACGTATCAACCTCTTTTGTATTGGCTAGCATTTAAATTTCAACTATTGTTGACAGTTAGTTAAACATCTATAAATAATCTATGTGGGACTATCCAAATAAAGTGTTGCCCTTTTGTCTATAACATTTATTGATGCATGCTTCTGGATTGTGTTCAAATTCATTTTATCTTATGGGCCAAATTTCACAGATGTATAAGACCCAATATTAGCTAACATTCTCTACAGCACTGTAATTTTTGGGCAATGGTAATACTTTGGGCAATGGTAGCTTTGGTCTAAAGGTATGGCTTTCTCACCCACCTTGCTCTTTGTCGCTGAGGACAGATGCCAGGTTCCCTCCCTGGTTGATGCAGTAGGTCCTGGCCTCCTGCCACGGCTTCTTATCATTGTCTCCCATGAATTTGTAGCACTGTGGAAACATGATGCGTCGGCACTGTGTTAGAACAGCACATGCTACTACAGCTGACAAAATGGATGCGCCCAGATGGCACCTTATTCCCGATACAGTATAGTGCATGGGCTCTGGTCAAAAGTAGTGCACTATAAAGGGAATAGGGTGTCACTTGGGACACAGACAATGACTACTCTCCACACCCAGGTCAGGATCACATTGGATCATCATTAGGGCCTGAGTTTTTCCTTAGCACATGATCAGGAAAAACGCCAGTCAGGAATCAGCTGTTGATGCAGTTTGTGTGAGGTTTCCTATGCTGGTGTACCATACAGGTGTATGTATGATTTTATAGACGTGGTGGTTGTACTGTGGAAGTGTAGTAGTTACCTTGCCCTGGAAAGCAATCCATTCCGGGGCACAACCTCCCTTGGGTACAGTGGTGGGGGCCATTGTTGTGTTCGTGAAACTGGCTGTTCTTTTACAAATGGAGGCCAACTCTATGCCACAATTGATATCATTCCAGTACCCTATAAATGCATAGAAACAGAGAGACACAACCCAATATAGATCAATTATATGTATAAACCCTGGATGACTTTTTTTTAAATGAAAAAGTATATAAAAACATTTTCCTTCAAGTATATTTTTTAGAGTACTTATGTTACTGTCGCCACTACAACAAAAATATACTTAAATACATGTAATTTTGTCCTTGAAACATTTAAATACTGTAGAATTCCAGTCATTCTCCAACTACGGAGTGCAAATATGGCCGACCGGTGGTTTCAAAGCCTCTCAATGGCCAATACATAGCGTCAGCAATCCAGGGTTGATATACGTCATTGATATAGACCCAGCTTACAAAATGACATCCTGGGAACGTCCCCTGAATGTTAGCGAAAGTCCTGGGGACGTCGCAGTGTAACGTCACTGTAACGAGATCATGACTGATAAATCCCTTCTCTTTGGAGGCTGATCCCCACTGCATCCCCAGATCCCTCTGCAATCAGACGTACCCATACTCTTGTATATCGTCACACAGTTCTCATCGTTGTTAGCGAAGTTGGGTTCGTTTTGATCCCACGCGGTGTACACGACAGGAGACCCATCCAACCAGCTGAAACATACAGTAGACAAACCCAATCTGAACTGTGAGCATCCATTCAATCAACTACACACCTGGAAGGCACACATGTTTCTCCAGATCTCAGGTATTTACCACCAAAATGGAAAATGGAGTGTGACAAACAAAACATGCTCCTGCATGAATATCTCTGAAAAGAGGTGGTAGGACTACAGGTTGTTTTGAATGTCCAGGGAACAGTCAACATTCGTTTTACATACCTAAAAGACTTATCCAAACCAACGGTCATTCCAATGTAGTATTGTCCCTCGGAAGCTCTCGCTATCTGGAAAAAAGTTACATATTTTTGAGGAAACAAACATATCTTGATTGAACATTTCAGTGACACTTTTTGTCATCCTGTTCTTAAACCATCTCTTTATCAGATTCCTGGAACCGAAGCTCTTCAGACATTACTGGGCTGCAACTGGAAGTCTCTACCTGTTTCCATAGAAACGTCCTTTCGCTCTCCGCAGTGATGACCACCAGGTCACCAAAGTTATTTTTACAGAACGCTCTCGCCTCTTCCATGGGGAGGTACTCAGTGTTGAAGAAATACTGAGTGTCGTTGTACTCAATCCAGCCGTCCTTTGTGGTGTTGTACACTGCAAAGGCAAGTAAATTAGGTAGGTTACTTTATTTGTTCTATGGTGTATTCTATGGGTGCTATTTCTATGTTGGCCAGAGTGGCTCCCAATCAGAGGCAACGAGTGTCAGCTGTTGCTGGTTGTCTCTGATTGGGAGCCATATTTAAACTGTCTGTTTTCCCGTTGGTTTTGTGGGATCTTGTTCTAGTTGGTTTGTGTTAGACCGTTGACTGTCACGTTATCGTTTTGTTGTTTTGGATCGTGTAATCACTAAATAAAGAGTATGTTCGTCTGCAACGCTGCGCCTTGGTCCTCATCTCTTACCGACGATCGTGACAGAAGATCCCACCAAGACTGGACCAAGCAGCAAGTCCAGGAGCCATCGCCTGAGAGATCTCTAGCGGATCTCCTTCGCCTCTTCGACTGGGTCAAGCCATGTGAGGAAGAGAGGGGCTTGACGTGGAAGCAGAAGGGCGAAAGGCTGGCAAAAAGTATGGAGACCTGGTCCACGGGTAGGAGTGAAGCCCATAACATTTTTAGGGGGGGGCTCACGCTGGGACGACGGGGCAGCAGGAGGCCGCGATGGAGCGGTCCAGCGGGTGTGCAGAGGAGGCCGCCAGGTTAAGGGGGCCACTGGTCACAGAGGAGAGGGAAAGTGTGGAGGCACGGCGAGAGGTACTGGGGTGTGTTACCAGTCCGGTCCGGCCCGTTCCTGATCCCTGCATAGGGCCAGTGGTGTGTGTCCCCAGTACGGTCCGGCCTGTTCCTGTTCCTCGCATCGAGCCTGTGGTGCGCGTCGCCAGCCCGGCCCGGCCTGTTCCTGCTCCCCGCACCGAGCCTATGATGCGCGTCGCCAGTCCGGCCCGGCCTGTACCTGCTCCCCGCACCGAGCCTATGGTGCGCGTCGCCAGCCCGGCCCGGCCTGTTCCTGCTTCCCGCACCGAGCCTATGGTGCGCGTCGCCAGCCCGGTCCGCTCCTGCTCCCCACACCAAGCCAGTGGTGTGCGTCGTCAGTCCGGCACGGCCCGTGCCTGTTCCCCACACCAAGCCAGTGGTGTGCGTCGCCAGTCCGGTTCGGCCCGCTCCTGCTCCCCGCACCAAGCCTATGGTACGCGTCGTCAGTCCGGCACGGCCCGTGCCTGTTCCCCACACCAAGCCAGTGGTGTGCTTCGCCAGCCCGGTCCGGTCCGCTCCTGCTCCCCACACCAAGCCTATGGTACGCGTCGTCAGTCCGGCACGGCCCGTGCCTGTCAGCTACTTCACGCCGGAGCTAGAGCAATCCGCTCCACCAGTGTGCAGTCCAGCTCCGGTCAGCGGGGCCAGACCGGACCAGGGGTACTTTGGGGGGTTGGAGAGGGAGTGGGGATCAGGCCCGGAGCCGGATCCGCCGCCAAGGCGGAGTGCCCACCCGGTCCCTCCCCTGTGGTATTTAGTTGACGCGGTCGGAGTCCGCGCCTTTAGGGGGGGGTACTGTCACGCCCTGGCTCTGGGGACACTTGTATGTTGAGCCAGGGTGTGTAAGTTCTATGTTTTTGTTCTATGGTGTATTCTATGAAATGTAATCCATTACAGTTACTAGTTACCTGTCCAAAATTGTAATCAGTAACGCAACTTTTGGATTACCCAAACTCTATAACGTAATCTGATTACATTCAGTTACTTTTAGATTACTTTACCCTTAAAAGGCATTAGAAGAAGACAAAAATGTACGTTATCAATTGAATGACATCTATTGCAGGATAAATCATTGTTAAAGTTTACATAGCTGGCCATATATGGATGTTAAATGTTACTTTATGGGTTGGTTATGTAGGCTTCTTCTAACCCATCGCATTCTACTACATATATACGATTAAATTATATCTTTACATTAAAAACCAAAGTCTATCAGAATTCCAGTCATTCCAATACATTTCATACCCCTTGATCTTCAAGAATAGGACTTGGAAATATGGAAATATAGATTAGTCAAATAGTTTTACCTGAGCATAACCCAAAAACTAAGGACTTATCAGCCAGCCCTACTTTTGTTGTCATGGAGGACTGATTAGGCTCATTGATTCGAGTTGAAAAATAAATGCTGCACTCATGAAATGGCATGCTTTGAGCACTACTGAAAAGTGCTATTTACATGTGAAAAATGTATGCAATATGCTGCATTTACTATAGGCCTATTGTTTACCTTTTTGTTGGTGACACTTTGATATCGTGAAAATATGCAGCTGTTTAAAGGGCAAATCCACAGATGAAACAGTAACAAAACGGCCGCCCCGCCTCAGTTTTGGTAAGAAGCTGAGGGATGGGCCTGGAGAAATGTAACCACTCACAGATTAATAGTCAGAGCTATGGATGCAAGGACTGACCATCCATGATATCAAAATGATAGTTTTAACAATGTTATCAGGCTATACAGTGTTTGTTTACATTTACAATGTTTACAAACATGGGAGAAATAAACAAGCTTATATGTTGGGTTCTCATGGAGTGGAACTAAGCTCATGAGGCATTTATAAGTTATATTCTTCAAGAATCAATGGTACCAGTCAAAAGTTTGGACACACCTAATCATTCCAGGGTTTTTCTTTATTTTTACTATGTTCTACATTGTAGAATAATTGTGACGACATCAAAACTATGAAATAACACATATGGAATCATGTAGTAACCAAAAAAGTTTTAAACAAATCATTATATATTTTATATTTGAGATTCTTCAAATAGCCACCCTTTGCCTTGATGACAGCTTTCCACACTCTTGGCATTCTCTCAACCAGCTTCATGAGGTAGTCACCTGGAATGCATTTCAATTAACAGGTGTGCCTTCTTAAAAGTTAATTTGTGGAATTTCTTTCCATCTAAATACGTTTGAGCCAAACAGTTGTGTTGTGACAAGGTAGGGGTGGTATACAGAAGATAGCCCTATTTGGTAAAAGACCAAGTCCATATTATGGCAAGAACAGCTCAAATAAGCAAAGAGAAACGACAGTCCATCATTACCAGAAACCACCACTAAAGGACACCAATAAGAAGAAGAGACTTGCTTGGGCCAAGAAACACGAGCAATGGACATTAGGCCTGTGGATTCATTTTTTATGATCATGAATTAGATTGCTTGCTTCGAGGCAAGTAACACTGACACATCCATGAGAGCATCAGCTGTTCCGGACGACTGTGTGATCACGCTCTCCGTAGCCGATGTGAGTAAGACCTTTAAACAGATCAACATTCACAAGGCCAGATTACCAGGACATGTACTCTGAGCATGCGCTGAACCAACTGGCACGTGTCTTCACTGACATTTTCAACCTCTCCCTGTCTGAGTCTGTAATAACAACATGTTTGAAGCAGACCACAATAGTCCCTGTGCCCAAGAACACTAAGGTAACCTGCCTAAATGACTACCGACCCGTAGCACTCACGTCTGTAGCCTTGAAGTGCTTTAGAAGGCTGGTCATGGCTCACATCAACACCATTATCCCAGAAACCCTAGACCCACTCCAATTTGCATACCGCCCCAACAGATCCACGGTTGATGCAATCTCTATTGCACTCCACACTGCCCTTTCACACCTGGACAAAAGGAACACCTATGTGAGAATGCTATTCATTGACTACAGCTCAGCGTTCAACACCATAGTGCCCTCAAAGCTCATCACTAAGCTAAGGACCCTGGGACTAAACACCTCCCTCTGCAACTGGATCCTGGACTTCCTGACGAGCCGCCCCCAGCTGGTAAGGGTAGGTAACAGCACATTCGCCACGCTGATCCTCAACACGGGGGCCCCTCAGGGGTGCGTGCTCAGTCCCCTCCTGTACTCCCTGTTCACTCATGACTGCATGGCCAGGCACGACTCCAACACCATCATTAAGTTTGCCGATGACACAACAGTGGTAGGCCTGATCACAGACAACGACGAGACAGCCTATAGGGAGGAGGTCAGAGACCTGGCCGGGTGATGCCAGGATAACAACCTCTCCCTCAACGTGATCAATACAAAGGAGATGATTGTGGACTACAGGAAAAAGAAGAGGACCGAGCACGCCCCCATTCTCATCGACGGGGCTGTAGTGGAGCAGGTTGAGAGCTTCAAGTTCCTTGGTGTCCACATCACCAATAAACTAACAAGGTCCAAGCACATAAAGACAGTCGTGAAGAGGGCACGACAAAACCTAGGAGACTGAAAATATTTGGCATGGGTCCTCAGATCCTCAAAAGGTTCTACAGCTGCGCCATCAAGAGCATCCTGACTGGTTACATCACTGCCTGGTATGGCAACTGCTTGGCCTCCGACCGCAAGGCACTACAGAGGTAGTGCGTACGGCCCAGTACATCACTGGGGCCAAGCTTCCTGCCATCCAGGACCTCTATACCAGGCGGTGTCAGAGGAAGGCCCTCAAAATTGTCAAAGACTCCAGCCACCCTAGTCATAGACTGTTCTCTCTGCTACCGCACGGCAAGCGGTACCGGATCGCCAAGTCTAGGTCCAAGAGGCTTCTAAACAGCTTCTACCCCCAAGCCATAAGACTCTTGAACATCTAATCAAATGGCTACCCAGACTATTTGCATTGCGCCCCCCCTCTCAATTACCTCGACTAACTGGTGCCCCCGCACATTAACTCGGTACCGGTACCCCCTGTATATAGCCTCGCTATTGTTATTTTTACTGCTGCTCTTAAATTATTTGTTACTTTTATTTCGTATTATTTTATATTCAATTTTTTGGTGATTTGTTTTGGTATTCTTTCTTAAAACGTAATTGTTGGTTAAGGGCTTGTAAATAAGCATTTCACTGTAAGGTCTACACCTGTTGTATTCGGCGCATGTGACAAATACAATTTGATTTGATTTGATTTGATTGCGCAATAAAAGTTTTACTTTCATTCCATAGGCTGGGATCCGCACTATGCAACTGTTGCAAGAGCGCATATTTCACTGGCTGTCCACTGGTTTCAAAAACAAAGATTGAAAGGCACCTTAAACTTCTTGAATTCAACCATTGTTGGGTTAAAATACACATTTAGATTTGTGAACAGCCATCCACAACAACCACAATCCGTAATAGCTAAACGAGAGAGCAGCAGTGTGATTCACATCATTGTGCTGTGTAGATATCAATAATAAGTGATATCCGTATCGCCGTAGACTACACCACTGCTGTCATCCTCACCTCCAAGCGTTTATTCAAGCTGAATAATCTTTGGGTGCCGACAGCAGTCGCACCATTGGAAGACATATCTTGGACTGTAGCCTACAAAAGCCTATTCCTGCTCTTTTCCCGCGATCCATCAAACACATTTGGTGTGTCATCATAGTGGTCTCTGACTTGTGGTCAGACTCGCACAGGTGCAACAAAATTAAACTTGTTCCTTTTTCAATGCTGATTTGAATGTCATTGAGAAAACAGAGAAGTGTCAAAGATGTATTTTCGCAAACATCCTTTCTGAATGTAAAAGTAATCCTCAAAGTAATCATCTAGTTTTTCAAAAGTATCTGTAATCCGATTACAATATTTTTGCTGGTAACGTAACGGATTACAGTTACCGTTTTTTGTAATCCCTCACATGTAACAGATTACATGTAATACATGTAATCCGTTACTCCCCAACCCTGATTAGGAGTACATTTTTCTCTTAGGTGTGAGTGTTTGTGTTCATGAACCAAATAATTGATGATGGTATGCTAGAGAGTATGTGCAGTGATACATTTTCCTTAAAAGAAAAGGCCAAGAGTTTGAAAAAGAGCAGGGATAATGATAAGGAATGAGGAGGAAGTGGAGACAGGAAGTGGAGGAAAGAGAAACATGAAACTGGACATATTTTCTGTGCATTACCTGGCACAACTTGAGTGGGAGGGGGCTTTGGTGTCACCCCTGTGGATAAAAAAAAAGTTTGGGTGAGCACAGATGCAAGGTTGAGGGTCTCTGAAAAATCTAAAAACGCATCAAATTCAATGTGCATTAATAGTTTAATGACTTACATGGACTGCATGGTGAAGTCAGTGTCAGCAGATAGAGTCTACTGTACCTTTGCGGATCTCGCAGATCCAGTCATTGTAGCCATCACAGTGTCGATCGTTCCACTGGCGTCCGAAGTAAAAATGGACCTCTACACAGTGTTCATCATTATTGTAGTTGTTTGGTTCTCCAAATCCCCAATTCTCATAGCTGAACTGGAGAACAACATTGGAATAATATTACACAGCAGCACTGTACGGCGTCCATATTAGCCTCAGTCTCAGTATGAGGCTGTCTTTATATGGACACCATAATACTGTATTTACTGTCAATACCATTAATGACAATGATGACAAATCAATGATTGAAGCAAGAGTAGAGTGTAATAAACTACTGCTAAGGAGAAGGGTTATCACAGTAAAGATGAGATGGTAGCTACTCACTGCTGATCCGTCATCCCAGACGTAACCTGCATTGGGATCCAGAGAGCTGAGGCCAATCCAGGCTGCATCAACGGCATGTTGCCTGAACAAACAGAGAAAATGGAAACCACAGACAGTGGTTATTACGACCGTGCTGATTTTGATTTTAACCACAGATAGTGCTTAATAGGACCACACTGGTTTTCACTGATACTCATGGCAATAGAGACAGCTTTGAAGATGACTTACGGAGAGCTGTTCAGGTCTTGGGAACTGTGAATACTCATCAGATTACCACCAATGGCCTTGCAGAAGTCCTGTGCCTCTGACCATGTCTTCTTGTTCTCTTTCACTTTTTTGTAAAGCTTATTGAAGGGAAAGAAAATTCATTAATTCACTTCAATGAATCAATTCACTTCAAATTTATTCATTTAAATTCACTGATCAACAAGGTGTTTGTGTCATATACAGAACATGTACAATATGTTCCCCTACCGTACCTTATAACAGACATTCCTTTCAGCAGCAGGTGACCACCCAGAAGGACAGCTCAGTGCCGGGGTGGTGGGAGGGGCCATTGATGATGTCACACCCTCCGCCATTTTCTTACAGATGTATTTTTCCTTGTTGCTGCAGCTGACCACATCCCACAGTCCCGCAAACATTCCAGTTGTCATAGCCACACAGCCTTGTTTTCTGTCTTTTTTCAAACACACAAAGAGATGAGAGAAAATTTAGTTGTTTAATTTAGTTCTGACATTTGCAAGGTGGTTAAGGTGTGGGAGAAAGTACACCTCTTAATACTGCAGTCGACTAATACCAATGGCAGTTCATGCTACAATCGATCATCAGTTGATGCACAGTAGTGGTTTGGAGCAGCTGCCTATATAACCATCGTGCGAGAAGGACACTGTACCTGGCATGCCAATGTTGAAGTGGGTGAACTTGACCTCCGTACGGGTAGTCCACTTGAACGTGTCTACATCCGCCATGTTGGAGAGTCCAGTCCAGAAGTACTTCTCTGGCCTCAGACCCACCAAACTGACCAGGAAGGCATTCTCATACCTACAACACACACACACACATAAACATTTGATCTGTTATCTGAAAACATATTGTTATGTCTTGTCCAGGATTTGGCCAATATAATCCTCTTATTTCACTCAAATAAATGAGTCAAATATATTTATCTTCTCTTATGATGAAAAGTCATGATGTGATACTCTACCTGTCAGCCACATATACCAGGTTCGAATCACTCTGCTGGCATGTCTGCTTGGCTTCATCAAATGTTTTGGTTTCTAATCCAATGTTGTAGCAATAGGAACCATACCGTATCCAACCCTAGAACGAAAATACAGAAACAATTATCTTCAAACGGTTAAATCTTTGTCCATCAAGATGACCCCATTCTAGATAGTCCTCCTTATCTATAATTATTTTCAAGTTTCTACTTCATGTGATATCTTTCTGTATTCAGTGTGTACAATACTCTCTTTCTCGACAACCAGGAAATTACCACTCACCAGTTTACATCCTGGACTGACTTCCTCTGGGGTATCTGACACCGGTTTGGTGGAGGCCTTTTTCTTACAGATGTACCCATAGGTCTTCTCACACAAATTATCAGCCCACCTCCCATCCTGTGGGAGAATATGGAGAGTCCACATGGTCGCTATTCCACATTTATTACTGTGTTGACACCTCTGTTAAACTTCATCATCAGTGCTACTGTTAGCCCTATCATTTAGCATTGGTGTTAGCATTAGCGTTAGCATTTAATTAGCGTTAGCATTAACCCAGTCTGTCCATTGAGGGACCAGTGTGGATGTTACCTTTCCTCTGATCAGTACACAGTCCTCCTGGAGGTTGGCACCATGGGATGGCTCCCCTGCCTGCCACTGGCTGAATGTCACATGGGATCGGTCGGTCCACTCAAACAGCAGTGCTTTCCACTGGTCGTTCAGGCCAATCCACAGCTCATCTGTGGCCGCTAGAGTCAAGCAGAGAGACATTCAGAGGCAGGTAGACATAGCTGAAAACACGTGATATACTTATCGTTACCTCAAATGAACTAAGCTGGCTCATTCACAGAAAGATCCCACACACAGAGATTCAGAGTCGTTTTCAAAGCCAATAGAAAGGACTACCCATATGAAACCTTGTGTCTAACAAATATACCAGACACTTTTCTGAGTTACAACATTGTACAACACGGGTTGCGTCCCAAATGGCAACCTTTTCCCTATTTAGTGCATTACTTTTGACCAGGGTCCCTAGGGAATGGGGTGCCATTTGGGATGGATTGTGTACTCACTGTATCCTGACTGAGAGATGATGAAGCTCTGTTCTTCTATGTTGTGGATGCTGGCCAGGTCCCCTCCATATTTGTGACAGGCGGACAAGGCATCCTTCCACATCTTCTTGGTACGTTCCAGGTAGTAGCAGTGGCCTGCGTAGGGGATCCAGTGACTAGGACAGAAGGTAGGCTGGTCTTTGCCTACAGAGGGGGGTCAAAGTTCAACAGTCATTGAGAAGGTAGGTTCAGAAAGTGTTAGACTGCCAAACTGTAGTGCCATTTTGTTCTACTTGAGTTTTGTACACTGATATACACCGAGTGTACAAAACATTAGGAATTGCAGTTCTCGACACACTCAAACCGGTGTGCCTGGCACCTACTACCATACCCCATTCAAAAGCACTTAAATATTTTGTCTTGCCCATTCACCCTCTGAATGACACACATACACAATCCATGTCTCAATTGTCTCAAGGCTTAAAAATCCTTCTTTAACCTGTCTCCTTCCATTCATCTAAACTGATTGAAGTGGATGTAACAGGTGACATTAATAAGGGATTGTAGCTTTCACCTGGTTTCACCTGGTCAGTCTATGTCATGGAAAGAGCAGGTGTTCCTAATATTTTGTACACTGGGTGTATAATGGTTCTGTTTACACTACACAACCAGGTTTTGTATTGCTCATGCACGGCCCTAACATAACTTAGTAAACACATTTTGGCGACCTCTTTTGGCTTGTGAGTGCTACTTTCAGAACTACTGGCTGAAATGTTGCAAGAATTGTGTAGAATCATTTTAACCTTGTGTTGCAAGTTCAAAACTTCTTAAAAGTGTTCTAGTGTAGTTCATGACAAGCATGTATGATTCAGTTCTTACCTATCTGGGCAGGGGCCAGAGCTGTAGAGTTGCCTTTGCGACAGATGTATCCAAGGTTCTTGGAGCATTCACTGGTCTCCCATTTCGAGGCCTTGCCAGCATTCAGGGTTCCACAGGTGTGCCCGGGTTCAGTAGATGGATGTCCTTTAGGAAATATTGACCCATATATTTATTCATTCTCTTCCTGCACCATGGGAACACATAGCATAGTTGGACAACCTCAGTTGACCTCAAAGCTGTAAAGTATAGTGTGATGTGTTGCATGCAGTTGCACTCACCCGGGGCCCAGTTTAAATATCTGAATGGGTTTCCATTGCTCCACTGCCATCCAGCCTCAAAGTCCAGGCTATTCAGTCCAATCCACAGAGAGGTGCCCAGGATATTGGTCAACCCTGCAACAATGAAAAGCATTACAATACATCCACGAGAGAATTATGATATTCCTAATAAGCAATTGAGTGTTTCAGATTAATTTCACTCCAAATCAAGGTGAGGTTGTAGGTTAGACAAGAGCAGAAACAGACTGGCCACACTGTAAGGCACTTCAAGTAAATGTCCGGTGGGCTGGTCCATCTTTGAGCTGGTGTGTCAGAAATGCCTCGGCTGGTTTCTGGTCCTAGTCCTCCCATGTACAACAGGTTAGATTGTACGTCAGATGTAGATTTGCTCATGGAGCTTTAGGGACTGTACCTCAGATGTACAGTACCAGTCAAAAGTTTGGACACACCTACTCATTCAAGGGTTTTTCTTTTTTTTTTTTACTATTTTCTACATTGTAGAATAATAGTGAAGACATCAAAAATATGAAATAACACATATGGAATCATGTAGTAACCAAAAAAGTGTTAAACAAATCAAAATACATTTTACATTTGAGATTCTTCAAATAGCCACCCTTTGCCTTGATGACAGCTTTGCACACTCTTGGCATTCTCTCAACCAGCTTCACCTGGAAGGCTTTTCCAACAGTCTTGAAAGAGTTCCCACATATGCTTAGCACGTGTTGGCTGCTTTTCCTTCACTCTGCCGTCCGACTCATCCCAAACCATCTCAATTGGATTGAGGTCGGGTGATTGTGGAGGCCAGGTCATCTGATGCAGCACTCCATCACTCTCCTTCTTGGTAAAATAGCCCTTACACAGCCTGGAGGTGTGTTGGGTCGTTGTCCTGTTGAAAAACAAATTATAGTCCCACTAAGCCCAAACCAGATGTGATGGCGTATCGCTGCAGAATGCTGTGGTAGCCATGCTGGTTAAGTGTGCCTTGAATTCTAAATAAATCACAGCCACTGTCACCAGCAAAGCAGCCCCACACCACAACACCTCCTCCTCCATTCTTTACGGTGGGAACTACACATGCAGAGATCATCCGTTCACCCACACCGCGTCTCACAAAGCCACGGCATTTGGACTCCAGACCAAAGGACAAATTTCCCCCGGTCTAATGTCCATTGCTCGTGTTTCTTGGCCCAAGCAGGTCTCTTCTTATTATTGGTGTCCTTTAGTAGTGGTTTCTTTGCAGTAATTCAACCATGAAGGCCTGATTCACACAGTCCCCTCCGAACAGTTGATGTTGAGATGTGTCTGTGACTTGAACTCTGTGAAGCATTTATTTGGGCTGCAATTTCTGAGGCTGGTAACTCTAATGAACTTCTCCTCTGTAGCAGAGGTAACTCTGGGTCTTCCATTCCTGTGGTGGTCGTCATGAGACCCAGCTTCATCATAGCGCTTGATGGTTTCTGCGACTGCACTTGAATAAACTTTCAAAGTTCTTGAAATGTTCCGTATTGACTGACCTTCATGTCTTAAAGTAATGATACACTGTAATTTCTCTTTGCTTATTTGAGCTGTTCTTGCCATAATATGGACTTGGTCTTTTACCAAATAGGGCTATCTTCTGTATACCCCCCCTACCTTGTCACAACACAACTGTTTGGCTCAAACGTATTTAGAAGGAAAGAAATTCCACAAATTAACTTTTAAGAAGGCACACCTGTTAATTGAAATGCATTCCAGGTGACTACCTCATTAAGCTGGTTGAGAGAATGCCAAGAGTGTGCAAAGCTGTCATCAAGGCAAAGGGTGGCTATTTGAAGAATCTCAAATATAAAATATATACCTGACATACACTACCGTTCAAAAGTTTGGGGTCACTTAGAAATTTCATTTTTTTCGAAAGAAAAGCAATTTCTTTGTCCATTAAAATAACATCAAATTGATCAGAAATACAGTGTAGACATTGTTAATGTTGTATGGATATTGTAGCTGTAAACTGCAGATTTTTTTATGGAATATCTCCATAGGCGTACAGAGGCCCATTATCAGCAACCATCAGTCCTGTATTCCAATGGCACGTTGTGTTTGCTAATCCAAGTTTATCATTTTAAAACGCTAATTGATCATTAGAAAACCCTTTTGCAATTATGTTAGCACAGCTGAAAACTGTTGTGCTGATCAAAGAAGCAATAAAACTGGCCTTCTTGAGACTAATTGAGTATCTGGAGCATTAGCAATTGTGGGTTCGATTACAGGCTCAAAATGGCCAGAAACAAATAACTTTCTTCTGAAACTCGTCAGTCTATTCTTGTTCTGAGAAACGAAGTCTATTCCATGCGAGAAATTGCCAAGAAACTGAAGATCTCGTACAACGCTGTGTACTACTCCCTTCACAGAACAGCGCAAACTGGCTCTAACCAGAATAGAAAGAGGAGTGGGAGGCCCCGGTGCACAACTGAGCAAGAGGACAAATACATTAGAGTGTCTAGTTTGAGAAACAGGCACCTCACAGGTCCTCAACTGGCAGCTTCATTAAATAGTACCCGCAAAACACCAGTCTCAACGTCAACAGTGAAGAGGCGACTCCGGGATGCTGACCTTCCAGGCAGAGTTGCAAAGAAAAAGCCGTATCTCAGACTGCCCATCTTAATATTTTCTTTTTATTGGCCAGTCTGAGAAATGGCTTTTTCTTTGCTGCTAATGGGCCTCTGTATGCCTATGTAGATATTCCATTAAAAACTGCCGTTTCCAGCTACCATAGCCATTTACAACATTAACAATGTCTACACTGTATTTCTGATCAAAGTGATGTTATTTTAATGGACAAAAAAATTGCTTTTCTTTCGAAAAAAATGACATTTCTAAGTGACCCCAAACTTTTGAACGGTAGTGTAGGTCTGCCTGTACATAGCTGATGTAGGATGTAGGGCTGCCTGTACATACCTGAGATGTAGGTCTGCTCGTGGAGCTCTATGATACTGAGCAGGTCAGCTCCTTGCTGCTGGCAGCTCTTCCTCGCCTGGTGCCAGGTCAGCACAGACTGGGTGTTCCTCTGGTACAGAGCACCTGTCACTGGGTCACTGTCCCAACCTGAGGACGCTGAGAGGGACACAAAAATAATAAGTCACACTTGAGATGGAAAAAATAAAGCATCAATAACGGTCCAAGAACTGAAACAAATAGTGTTGTTAATCTCTACCACTTAGAGCTGCCCCCCTAAGGATCCTGGGACTAAACACCTCCCTCTGCAACTGGATCCTGGACTTCCTGACGGGCCGCCCCCAGGTGGTAAGGGTAGGTAACAACACATCTGCCACACTGATCCTCAACATGGGGGCCCCTCAGGGGTGCGTGTTCAGTCCCCTCCTGTACTCCCTGTTCACCCATGACTGCATGGCCAGGCACGACTCCAACACCATCATTAAGTTTGCCGACGACACAACAGTGATAGGCCTGATCACTGACAACGATGAGACAGCCTATAGGGAGGAGGTCAGAGACCTGGCCATGTGGTGCCAGGACAACAACCTCTCCCTCAACGTGACCAAGACAAAGGAGATGATTGTGGACTACAGGAAAAAAAGAGGACTGAGCACGCCCCCATTCTCATCGACGGGGCTGTAGTGGAACAGGTTGAGAGCTTCAAGTTCCTTGGTGTCCACATCACCAACGAACTATCATGGTCCAAACACACCAATACAGTCGTGAAGAGGGCACGACAAAGCCTATTCCCCCTCAGGAGACTGAAAAGATTTGGCATGGGACCTCAGATCCTCAAAAAATTATACAGCTGCACCATCGAGAGCATCCTGACTGGTTGCATCACCGCCTGGTATGGCAACTGCTTGGCCTCCGACCGCAAGGCACTACAGAGGGTAGTGCGTACGGCCCAGTACATCACTGGGGCCAAGCTTCCTGCCATCCAGGACCTCTATACCAGGCGGTGTCAGAGGAAGGCCCTCAAAATTGTCAAAGACTCCAGCCACCCTAGTCATAGACTGTTCTCTCTGCTACCGCACGGCAAGCGGTACCGGAGTGCCAAGTCTAGGTCCAAAGACCTAGCCCCAAACAGCTTCTACCCCAAGCCATAAGACTCCTGAACAGCTAATCATGGCTACCCAAACTATTTGCACTGCCCCCCCCCCCCCCCCCCCCCCCCCCCCCCCCCCCCCCACCCCCCCCCCCCACCCCCCCCCCCCCCCCCCCCCCCCCCACCCCATCTTGTTACGCTGCTGCTACTCTGTTAATTATTTATGCATAGTCACTTTAACTCTACCCACATGTACATATTACTTCAACTACCTCAACTAGCCGGTGCCCCCGCACATTGACTTTGCACCGGTACCCCCCTGTATATAGCCTCCCTACTCTTATTTTATTTTACTTCTGCTCTTTCTTTCTCAACACTTTTTTGTTTTATTCTACTTTTTTATTAAAAATAAATGCACTGTTGGTTAAGGGCTGTAAGTAATCATTTCACTGTAATGTCTGCACCTGTTGTATTTGGCGCATGTGGCCAATAAAATGTGATTTGATTTGATATCTGTGACTATGGTGGCAGTTTACCAGAAACTATGGTGAAAGGGGGCTTCCTCCCTCTTCCTGTCCCAGTTTTGGGGAATTACAGGTTTGAGCTCCAGTCAGGTTGGAAGGGAAAAGAGACACACAGTTAGAGGAACGAGAGGAAGCATTTGTGTTTTTCTGCCGGGAGGTCAGAGACCAGACCTCCAGTGAGGTCACGGAAAAACAGGAAAATCAAAGAATTTCCTGTGTAGCCCCTGTTTTTATGAGGAATCTGCCGCTATCACAGGCATGGCAGGGAGTTTTACGGCATTGTTTGAATTGGATGCCGTCCCCAAAGTGTTTCGTTTTCTGTTGATGCAGGTGTTTCAGACTGGTAAACACATCTTAAACCCAGGTCGTTTCCCTTCTATTTACAAAATCATCACATTCTAGGATAGAGTAGGCCACTGGTGTTGGAGATGTGTGTACGCCCATGAGTCAAATTGATTTGACATTTTTATTTAGGAACTGGGCTCGTATTCATAAAGTATCCCAGAGTAGGACTGCTGATCTACGATCAGGTCTCTTCCTGTCCATGTAATGTCATTAATTATGATCTAAAAGGCTACTGATCCTAGATCAGCGCTCCAATTCTGAGATGCTTGATACATAAGGATTCTGATTTTCTATAGGTGTCACCTACTGACCCTCAGTATAACTGTTTTTCCTGATCACTGGAAAATGGCAGTAAATTACATCAAACATGGCAGGAAATGTGATGGCTTGACTCACATTTCGAGGGACAGAAGCCCCACTTTTTGTCTTTATTGTAATCCGTCTCTGTGGCGCACCAGAGCTGTCCATCTGAGCGCCCCTCCAGAGTGCACTCAGCGAACCACTTCTCCTCAAACTTAAAGGGGAACTGGCATGTGCTTCCAAAGGCATTCCCCCCTAGTGTGAACACCTCTGTGGAAGGGGGGGAAAAAACACTTCAGTAAATGAGGCATACAAAGTTTATTGAGTCAGTCATCAGATCTCAACCCAATCGAACACTTATGGGAGATTCTTGAGCTGCGCTTGAGACAGCGTTTTTCACCACCATCAACAAAACATAAAATGGTGGAATTTCTCGTGGAAGAATGGTGTCACATCCCTCCAATAGAGTTCCAGACACTTGTAAAATCTATACCTAAGGCGCATTAGCGGCTTGTGGTGGCCCAACGCCCTATTAAGACACTGTATGTTTGTGTTTAATTTATTTTGACAGTTACCTGTATATTTCCTGTCTTTAAGAACGTTTATGACAACAGTTATGACAACCTCCAGTAAAGGTGAGTGTGTGCTCTTCCTTACCTTGGTAGCCCTTGGAGCAGAGGTCCTTCTGAGTACCGTACATCTTCCATCGGCTCCAAACCCCAGCTCCCTGGTAGATCATCATGTTATTTTCATTGCGTTCGCCGTAGTTCAAGTGCAGCGCCTTGTCTTTGAGGCCGAACAGTGTTTCGTTCTTACACTGCCAGTGCTGGAGCTCACTCTTCTCATCACAGGGGAAGAGCAGCACCTTGACCCAGTCCTTTAGGTCCTGAGCCCCCAGGCAGAGCTTCAGGGAGATGCTGAGGAGACGAGACCGTGAGGCCCAACGGAACTGCTGGTTCTGGGACACTGGGTTACAGGTAGCCACCGTGACCTGACTGGCGCTCACTGCCACCACACACTTGTTGTGATCCTGGTTGTAGATCAGGAAGGAGCTGCTGTCTGCATCACAGTGGAAAAGGACAATAATGTGATCTATTCAAGGTCTCATCCCTCATAAACAGCACAGCAAAACTATTGAACTGTGACTGAGACAATGGCCGTGTCCGAATACCCATACTAGCGTACTACACACTTAAACTGCATACTATGTCCTCATTGTTGCATACTATTTAGCATGTACCATTTAGTAAAAAGTAAGCTGTACGTCACAGCCGCAACGCAGTAGTGGCTCCTGACTGGCTGAGTAGGTGGGGCAGGAGGATTTTCCAAATTCAGCAGACATGCATGCATTAACCAGCCTGATAATAGCTCATTTCCAATTCGATTAATTTCCCTAAACTCTGAATAGAATAGAAAGGGAGTTATCGGCCTACTCAGGCTGGTTATAAGCAGAAATCACATTTGACCTATACCATAGCTCATATAGCCCATCTATCCTGTTTCAAAAGGACTGAAGAAAAAAAAAACATATCATTTGGTTCCATTTCAACATATTTATTATTGAAACCAAAGTGATGTAACATATATACATTAAATCAAATAGCTTAGTACACACACCAAAACTTTTCAAATGTTCTAATCAAAGGGCTATTGCACAGAAAAACTTGGACATCGATGCATCGCAAATTTAGAACCTCTGTACAGCAACATAATAAACTAAAGCACTGATCCATAAATTAAATAATTTACAAAACTGAAACAATCCTTAAGTTCAGATCAAAAGGCATGATAACATGACATCAATAACGCAGCCACATCCCGAGTCCCCGGTGCCGACACATTCAGAAATCAAAAGATGGTTTAGTATTTACTTCAAAACAGGGGTTCCCAAACTTTTTTGGTCCATGACCCCATTTTGATATCTGAAAATTCTCGTGACCCCGACCATGTGAAAAAAATATGTAATTAACAGCCAATGTTTACTTTTTTTATTTGGGGCGATGGCAGTCAATTGAAAAACATTCTAACAGTATTTTTGATTGTCTTCTCAACTCACCATCACATACTTTTAATGTGGGGCTATGACAGTCAATTGCAAAATAATCTGACATAATGTCTCTTATCTCACCACAACCAATGAGATGGGTCTGCTTGATGCATGTCACGTCATAGCTTCTCAAAGTTAGGAGGCATGGTCGAAAGTGCGCACCTCATCTCTGCTGAAGAGAGCACTGAATCCAGCTTGACACAGATATGAGCTGGCGAAGGGTGAGTTTTAATGCTCAGAGGGATACGGCAGTGTATTTCCTTTGAGTCAGCATTCGTCTGCAGCATTTTGTCACATGACAGCTCGATCAGCTGTTCAATTTCACTTACCGGCATGCCAACTGAGCCAGGATCACAGTCAAATGGATTGGGAAGTAGGTCCCAAACTGCTCTTCCAAGCGTTGGAGGTGAGCAGTCATCATTAGTGTGGGACACTTACTGATGCAGTTTTCTGTTAGAAACATGCACAGCCGAGGAAAGGGGCCATGGTTCGCTTTGAAAGACTCTCTCTCCAAAATGTATAATTTCCTCTCAATACACTGAATGTAGAATGCATGCTTGTGTTCAGTTCATTCAATTTCCCAAATGTGACTGTTACATAGGCAAGCCGAAACATTTTCTTTTCATTACACAGAAAGTCAACCAAGCCTATTTTTTTTTACATCCATTGTGAATGACAACAGTTCTTCTCTCAATGCGAAAAATCTTTTAAACACTTGATAACCACCAAGCCTCGGTGTGAAATAGAACATTGTCATGCTCTGATCCCATATCTTCACATAGTTTTGCAAACAGGCAGTGGATGTGGTTTGATGTAGTTTACAATCAAATGTACCTGCTGCAGTATATCTCTGAGTTCTGTGCGCTGCTCTTTTGCCACTAGTTGCTCTCAATGTTTCATATGATGCGTCCATATAGCAGATTGAGACGCAGTCATAACTAGAGTGCAAAGGCCTGCCCGCCGTCCCGACATAGACGTGAATCTGTGAGACAGAACAATATGTCCTCGTGAGTAGCATCCCCCATCATGTATAGCGAACAAAAGCCAATGCATGGGCATCTCTGCCCTCACAGCTAACGTCCATTTGGAGAGCATAAGCTGGGGAGTTGTTCAGTCAGAGTTTCCTCTTGATTGCTAGCAATAGCATAACTTCTTCATCTACCAGTGTTATCTGACAAAGGTATTGATGTGAGTTTCTGTGCCTCTGCCTCCCCACACAGTGCTTTCACCATATTAATTGCGGCCGGTAATTTACAGTATCTCACAAAAGTGAGTACACCCCTCACATTTTTGTACATATTTGAGTATATCTTTTCATGTGACAACACTGAAGAAATGTCACTTTTCTACAATGTAAAGTGGTGAGTGTACAACTTGTATAACTGTAAATTTGCTGTCCCCTCAGAATAACACAACACACAGCCATTACTGTCTAAACCGCTGGCAACAAAAGTGAGTACACCCCTAAGTGAAAATGTCCAAATTGGGCCCAAAGTGTCAATATTTTGTGTGGCCACCATCATTTTCCAGCACTTCCATAACCCTCTTTGGCATGGAGTTCACCAGAGCTTCACAGCTTGCCACTGGAGTCCTCTTCCACTCCTCCATGACGACATCACGGAGCTGGTGGATGTTAGAGACCTTGCACTCCTCCACCTTCCGTTTGAGGATGCCCCACATATGCTCAATAGGGTTTAGGTCTGGAGACATGCTTGGCCAGTCCATCACCTTTACCCTCAGCTTCTTTAGCAAGGCAGTGGTCGTCTCCCCAGTGTCATGTGACTCGTTAGTGTTACAAGGTCTCAGGTGTGAATAGGGAGAAGGTGTGTTAAATTTGGTGTCATCGCTCTCACACTCCCTCATACTGGTCACTGGAAGTTCAACATGGCAACCTCATGGCAAAGAACTCTCTGAGGATCTGAAAAAAAAAAAATTGTTGCTCTACATAAAGATTGCCTGGGCTATAAGAAGATTGCCAAGACCCTGAAACTGAGCTGCAGCACGGTGGCCAAGACCATACAGCGGTTTAACAGGACAGGTTCCACTCAGAACAGGCCTCGCCATGGTCGACCAAAGAAGTTGAGTGCACGTGCTCAGCGTCATATCCAGAGGTTGTCTTTGGGAAATAGACATATGAGTGCTGCCAGCATTGCTGCAGAGGTTGAAGGGGTGGGGGGTCAGCCTGTCAGTGCTCAGACCATACGCCGCACACTGCATCAAATTGGTCTGCATGGCTGTCGTCCCAGAAGGAAGCCTCTTCTAAAGGTGATGCACAAGAAAGCCCGCAAACAGTTTGCTGAAGACAAGCAGACTAAGGACATGGATTACCGGAACCATGTCCTGTGGTCGGATGAGACCAAGATAAACAAATTTGGTTCAGATGGTGTCAAGCGTGTGTGGCGGCAACCAGGTGAGGAGTACAAAGACAAGTGTGTCTTGCCTACAGTCAAGCATGGTGGTGGGAGTGTCATGGTCTGGGGCTGCATGAGTGCTGCCGGCACTGGGGAGCTACAGTGAAGGAAAAAAGTATTTGATCCCCTGCTGATTTTGTACGTTTGCCCACTGACAAAGAAAATATCAGTCTATAATTTTAATGGTAGGTTTATTTGAACAGTGAGAGACAGAATAACAACAACAAAATCCAGAAAAACGCATGTCAAAAATGTTATAAATTGATTTGCATTTTAATGAGGGAAATAAGTATTTGACCCCTCTGCAAAACATGACTTATTACTTGGTGGCAAAACCCTTGTTGGCAATCACAGAGGTCAGACGTTTCTTGTAGTTGGCCACCAGGTTTGCACACATCTCAGGAGGGATTTTGTCCCACTCCTCTTTGCAGAGCTTCTCCAAGTCATTAAGGTTTCGAGGCTGACGTTTGGCAACTCGAACCTTCAGCTCCCTCCACATATTTTCTATGGGATTAAGGTCTGGAGACTGGCTAGTCCACTCCAGGACCTTAATGTGCTTCTTCTTGAGCCACTCCTTTGTTGCCTTGGCCGTGTGTTTTGGGTCATTTTCAATGCCCTGGCTGAGGGAAGGAGGTTCTACACAAGATTTGACAGTACATGGCCCCATCCATCGTCCCTTTGATGCGCTGAAGTTGTCACCCCCAAAGCATAATGTTTCCACCTCCATGTTTGACGGTGGGGATGGTGTTCTTGGGGTCATAGGCAGCATTCCTCCTCCTCCAAACACGGCGAGTTGAGTTGATGCCAAAGAGCTCCCATTTTGGTCTCATCTGACCACAACACTTTCACCCAGTTCTCCTCTGAATCATTCAGATGTTCATTGGCAAACTTCAGACGGGCATGTATATGTGCTTTCTTGAGCAGGGGGACCTTGCGGGCACTGCAGGATTTCAGTCCTTCACGGCATAGTGTGTTACCAATTGTTTTCTTGGTGACTATGGTCCCAGCTGCCTTGAGATCATTGACAAGATCCTCCTGTATAGTTCTGGGCTGATTCCTCACTGTTCTCATGATCATTGCAACTCCACGAGGTGAGATCTTGCATGGAGCCTCAGGCCGAGGGAGATTGACAGTTATTTTGTGTTTCTTCCATTTGCGAATAATCGCACCAACTGTTGTCACCTTCTCACCAAGCTGCTTGGCGATGGTCTTGTAGCCCATTCCAGCCTTGTGTAGGTCTACAATCTTGTCCCTGACATCATTGGAGAGCTCTTTGGTCTTGGCCATGGTGGAGAGTTTTGAATCTGATTGATTGATTGCTTCTGTGGACAGGTGTCTTTTATACAGGTAACAAATTGAGATTAGGAGCACTCCCTTTAAGAGTGTGCTCCTAATCTCAGCTCGTTACCTGTATAAAAGACACCTGGGAGCCAGAAATCTTTCTGATTGAGAGGGGGTCAAATACTTATTTCCCTCATTAAAATGCAAATCAATTTATAACATTTTTGACATGCATTTTTCTGGAATTTTTTTGTTGTTATTCTGTCTCTCACTGTTCAAATAAACCTACCATTAAAATTATAGACTGATCATTTCTTTGTCAGTGGGCAAACGTACAAAATCAGCAGGGGATCAAATACTTTTTCCCTCACTGTACCATTCATTGAGGGATCCATGAATGCCAACATGTACTGTGACATACTGAAGCAGAGCATGATTCCCTCCCTTCAGAGACTGGGCCGCAGGGCAGTATTCCAACATGATAACGACCCCAAACACACCTCCAAAACGACCACTGCCTTGCTAAAGAAGCTGAGGGTAAAGGTGATGGACTGGCCAAGCATGTCTCCAGACCTAAACCCTATTGAGCATATGTGGGGCATCCTCAAACGGAAGGTGGAGGAGTGCAAGGTCTCTAACATCCACCAGCTCCGTGATGTCGTCATGGAGGAGTGGAAGAGGACTCCAGTGGCAAGCTGTGAAGCTCTGGTGAACTCCATGCCAAAGAGGGTTCAGGAAGTGCTGGAAAATGATGGTGGCCACACAAAATATTGACACTTTGGGCCCAATTTGGACATTTTCACTTAGGGGTGTACTCACTTTTGTTGCCAGCGGTTTAGACAGTAATGGCTGTGTGTTGTGTTACTACTTTACATTGTAGCAAAGTTACATTTCTTCAGTGTTGTCACATGAAAAGATATACTCAAATATTTACAAAAATGTGAGGGGTGTACTCACTTTTGTGAGATACTGTATATCAAAGTCTCTGCAATAGTGTGTGGTTTCATAGCGTAGCGGGCCTAGCCATTCACTGTGGGAATGATTCAAGTGCAACGGTCAAGTGCTGCCTTTTCCTATGATTTAAGGGCGCTCTCTGGTTGAATTGTATCTTTTAGGTTTAAATAATTTTCATATAGATTTTTAAGGTTTTGAGATACAAAGACGATATTATCATCTATATTTTTTTATATTATTTTTGAGGGGGATTTGGGAAATTCTCCTGCGACCCCGTTTTCGTACTGTAGTTTGGGAACCACTGAGTTATTGGTTAATTTGGGTAGCACATCCCCATATCTGATTATCAGCTGCTGTCAAAGACGAAATTAGTATGACATCCGGGCATTTAAAGTGTGTGTTCAAGCTTTTCGCAATGTTACATACTATAAAACATTCTTTTTTTGGCATACTTAAATGGTCTACTATTTAGAATGGGTATTCGGACATGACTGCTGTGTCTAATTGTACAGGAACTGTACAAGTATTTTGTTATCACTCAACTACAACATCAAAATCAAAACATTTTAGGGCCCACTGTACATTAAGTTGCATAGTAAAATCAGTATAGATTAAAATTGTATATAGTACTGACAACTGTTACATCTTTCAGCATGCAAATTATTTTAAAGAAATATATATTATGTAACAATGTATACCTACATTGTAATTACAGGACATAGTACTACCTGCCCATGTAACAACAATTGAAATACATGTTTTTAGGCCACATAGATTTGTTTTGGGCCACTTCCATTTTGGTATCCGAAGGCTTCTAAAACACTTTAAGATGTTCTAAAGGTTGTCTAGCTTGTCAAATGGTTCCCTTATGATTCCTGGAGTAGATTACATCAATATCTCTCGCAGTATCTACCAGCAAAGTTAAACTTACTGAAGGACCAAGAAATTCTGGAAATATGGATTATCATTCTTCAGAAATATTGTTACTTTCTAGCAGCCTCATCAAGGCCAAGATTATGAAAAGAATATCAACAAATTTAATTTGCATCACTTTCACTATACAGTTTGGTTTACTATTGCATGAAATCTAAGAAATTGGAAGAAATGAAACCCCACATACCTATTTCAGCAGTGCAGAAGAGGGCTCGCATGAGACACAGGAGCACAGCGAAGGATGGACTGGGCGCCATCATAGTTGGTGCATAGTTTGCTAGCCCAGGCGAAAAGGTGGTGTAAAGTAGCTGTCCAGTCCAGAGAGGAGAGGGGGATCTGGCTGTGGTGTATTCAGGTGTCTTTCATGGAAGTACAGTGACACAGAGACAAGGACGTTGCCCCCTTATTCTGGCCGATCTGTATCCTGTCACATGGGTTGGTGGGGGATTGGCCAAAACCAGAACAATTTCCATGAGTTTCCACACTACTGACATGTGAGGAGATGACAGGGGTAAGAGGAAGTGGGCAGCCAATACTCATTCACTTACCAGGAGCACACAGGGGATGAGAAGAGCCACAGGTCTGAGATCAGCGCGAGCATCAATGAGACAAGCCTCACTCAAACTGAACCAGGACCAGCTCTCTATGGACGATATGTAAGATCTAAACAGAGCAAGTGGTCACCTCTTTCCAAGGACATGGCAGAGGTCATGAAATGTGTACACTGTTATCCTTTTGATGAATGAGGAACATCCTGGATTTCACAATATTCCATGTAAGAGACCAGTAGTACAGAAGACCACATCAACAGGAAGATGGTCAGGACAGATAAGGTGACAGTCTGTCATGAAGATATGTTTGTGTTTTCTGAGGACAAGAATGTAGTGTGTGATCACTTTGATGTCATATAAGAGTACAATTTCAGCAGACATGACATTTGAAAGAAAGTTAGGTAGTTGGTTTGGCTTAAAAAGTGTTTGGTATGCATTTTCACACACTGCACACACATCATTATCACTTTATGCCGAAATAAGGGCCTTTAGATAGATAGATCTGATTTTAAACCTTAACCTTAAACACACTGCTAACCCTAAAACGTAACCCTAACCTTAAATTAAGACCAGAAAGCTAATTTCATTTTCATGACTTTTTACAATATAGCCAGTTTTGACTTTGCAGCTGGCCCATCTAGTGGAAATTGTTCAGTTCTGCCTCAAGGACAAGGCTCATCCCAATAAACGTCAACCTTCTCGTGGGGAGCCCAACATGGAGCCCTGACGCCCCATTGTGGGCTGAATGAGGCTGGGGAGGAGCCTGAAAAGAACACACAGTCATACACCGTCATGTACTATACATACAGCGCAATACATGCACAACATTTTAACAATAAACACACACTCTCACTAACGCACGCGTGTAAATGCAGTCATACACAGTTCATGCTCACCTGAAATCATATCATAAAACAGATTTCTTTTTTTCTCAGAGTCTCTATTTTTCTTTATACATTTTTACACCCAAAAATATGTTTCATTTGTACAAACTCACGCTTTGTTTTAAATTTGTGGATATGATCATAACCTAGCAAGGGAAAGAAATCTGGGATGTATAACAACATTGATGTATATTCTTACACAATTCACTGCACTTTATGGTAATAGAATAGAAATATCATATATTCTCTGTTATCAAATCTGTAAGAAGTGACATGACAGGTTCTTTACATTCTCAAAGTGCCATGGTTCAGGTTGGGGACAAGGGGCAAGGGGAGTTGGGGAGTTGGGGAGGGGGGGCTAAAAAAACAACATTGAACAAATAGGAAATAAGATAACACTATGACAGCACATAGTCCTCTGACAGTGAATGTCCTCCATCCCCTTTACGGGAACACATTGCCAAAGAGTTCCCTTTTAGCCTGCAAAAAGCACCACAATGTCATCCTGTCCCTCCTTTAATCTGAATAATCATTATCAAATGGATCAATCTCTCTTCACTGTGCCGAACACAGGAATCCTCTCCTGTTCTTCTCATCGCCGTGTGAGCCCGTTGTTGTTTTTGTCTGCTTTTGGTTTGGTGTCTCTGTTATAAAGTCCATTCCCACTGGGCACAGACGTAATTTCAACATCTAGTTTTGATTTACATTTGGTTGAGTTGTCAACTAATGTGAATTCAACGTGAAATCAACAAAAAATGTCACCATGACATTGGATTTAGGTTAAAAACAAAAATTCAACACAAAAATACATTCCCTTACGTTGATGACTTTTTGCAAATTCAATCAGTTTTCCACGTTGATTCAACGTCATCACATTTTTTTTGGGGGGGGGGGGGGGGTTGAAATGACGTGGAAACCAGTTTTGCCCAGTGGGTTCTAGTCCATTGTTTTTTCTCATCTTTGGCTGGCGGCTCAGATCAGAACATCCTCTCGGTGTTGAAGACCCTCAGCTTGGTCATAAAGTTAAAGTAGATATAGGCCAGGCAGACAAGCAGGTTCTTCATCAGGTAGAGGAGGGGCGTGACAAAGCCGAAGAAGGCGATGAGGCCGATACGCACAAACAGGAAGGGCAGATCCTGCAGGGCCACGCCTAGCGATGACAGCAGGGGACTGTGGGGCATGACCACCAGCCGCAGGCACGACAGGTAGCTGAAAATGTAGATAGGGAACACCCAGCCCGAGTAGTAGACCGCCGGGTGCCCAGCCACCCTCACCATCTCCACTGTGTCCATCCAGAACAGAAAGCTGTCCACAAATACCTCGGCTCGGGCATCGCTGGCACACAGGAAGTGCAGCGGCCCTGTGGAGGCGTACGGTGAGACGCCGCGGTCCACCGACGTGCTGACAGAGTGTGCCGAGCGTGCCGAGCGTGCCGAGCGTGCCGAGCGTGCCGAGCGTGCCGAGCGTGCCGAGCGTGAGCTCAGGCCTGAGATGCTAAACTGTCTCCCTGGTATCTGGTTACCTGGCATCCCCCCTGACATCCCCTGGAAAGTCCCATTGGCCTCTGGTCGAGAGCCTGCCCCGTTCTGGTCCTGCCCATTCGGACCACCAGGTTGCCCTGGTTGTGCAGGTTGCCCGGGCACAGCTGGCGTTACGGGTGATGCAGGGTTTGCTGGGTTACCCGGTGTCACTGGGGTTCCACGTAGGTGCTCCACGTGCGTGAGGACAATGGAAGGGATCTCAGTATCTTGGTCCAATTCATTAGCTGGACGGAAAGACAACAGCACATGAGTATGTTAGCCATGACAGAATGACGCAGATCAGAACATCTCATTATGGCACAAACATGCATACAACATAGCCCAAAAGTGTAGAACACAGCCCAACAGTGTAGAACACAGCACAACACAGCGATTGTCTCTCTGGGCTCTATAGGTACTATATATTTTACCATAATACAATAGCATTTCTGATCAGTGGAAAAGGACGATAAAATTTGGGATCTGGTTATTTCCTTGAATAAAAGGATTCCAAGAAACTGAGAGCCGTCCTTAGAACATGTCATGTTTTTTTCCAATTCAGCACTGTGTTACAAAAAAATCAATTGGGGGGTCGTACAGAGAATTTCCTGTTCATTTCCTGAGATACATATCTCCTGATAGAACATATTCCCGGATAGTGTACAGTATTGTTGTCGTAATGAAATGACACTAGGTCCAGCTGCATGTGACAGAGATTACGCTCAGTGAGTTGGCAGAGGATCAGGTATTATTCAGACTACAGTAGCTAGCTAGTGTTCAGTTAAAACGTGTGTTGAACACAGAGCTTTGTGTTCTCACCGTGTCCAGTGAGTCGACAGTGGCGGATCCTCTCCACGATATCGATGGAGATGAGAGAGAAGAGCACCAGCGACACGGGGAGCTCTGCGAACGTGTCCTGTCTTATACTGTTATTGATCTGCACCTGAGAGAAAACAACGATCAAAACCAATCTGTGATTCGAATCAGATTACATTTACATTTTTGTCATTTAGCAGACTCTTATCCAGAGCAACTTACAGTTAAGACATGTATGTTAAGATAGCTAGGTGGGACACCACATCAGTCATAGTAAGTACATTGTTCCTCAATAAAGCAGCTATCATTACAATTTCTAGCCCTGATTGTGATCTAATGAAACGGTCATGTGCCAGTCATGTGACAGTCCTGTGCCAGCTTGGCTTCTCCAAACACTACATGGCACCCTATGACTGCTATATACCCTCTGTGACACTGGGTTAGTGGGCTAATCACTTGTAGCTCTGGCATGTGCTTAACTCAGGACTACTTGCCTACAGGACACAGAACAAAAGAGCTGAATTTATGGCTTCTCTCATGTAAAAGAGAGTAGATAAGCCATGGACCTGAGGTCACCCCTGGACCTTCAGGAACCTCTAGAAAGTGGGCTCATAAGAGGTGGGCTCTTCACAGACAGGAAGTGGTAAAGTGCCAGATGGACAGTTGATGTGACCAGGGAAGCTGGGACAGGAAGAGGAACTCAGCTGCTTATCAGTAGCTCCTTGGCCATAGGGCTGTAGATTGCTCCCCTGAGAACTTAACTGTTCCTCTCAACTAGGTTTTCCAGCCAATTGAGTCGAAAATAAGTTCATTACTCGAGACTTTGATCAACACAGTGTACAGTAGTGGCACCTGCTGGTAAAAATAATTTAGAGCAACCAAATTATTATTCATGACGTCCCACACCCTGTAGCCTGTGTGCAGCGTAGCATTTTTGTCTTCTACCAAACCAAACCAATCAGGTGGTTGTTTAATGAAACTAAGCGCCGGACGTCATTAATCACATGCTTCTGATAAAGTAATACAGGAATCGGCACACTGCTTCGAAGTACATTCGACGTATGCCTCGGAGCTCCGGGATCAAACGTAACATCACTACTCTCAACTCATCAACTTTACCCCTTCCTCTCTCATAAGACCCCCCCGCTAGGACACCACACTTCAAATAACTTAATTATCCCGTGGTTGTGTCATGATGGTACACTCAGATTTTTTTTTTTATAGATTTGTTCCCAAAGGGGTACAAATGCTTCTCACTGGGGTGGTACCATGTAGTACACCTTTTGTACCTTTAGTTATAGATACATAATTGTACCCCAGTTCATACCATGGATAGTACCTTTCTTACATATAGTCCACAGGTACAAAAGCATGTTTCTAGAAAATGAATATTTTGCCTTTATAGGGAACCACCACAGTAACCAAGCCAATTTGTTCCTTGAAAGTAGCAAAAATGTACCTCTACCATAGACCACTTAAACTGGTACAACACTTCCACTCACATGTGGCCAAAAAATAACTAACTGAAAACCACGCCCCCACTAAGCCACGCCTCCAATATAATTTCCTGGTGTGCCTTGCCTTTTCGAGTGAATTGTAGAATTGACTGTATTTGTTAGTAACAGAGACATGATTGTTTAATTCGTTCATTTTCAGTACTGTGACCTTCACCAAGTAAGTTCCTAGGTGAATGTTATCATTAAATTAAACACATTTTACCCTAATACAGTGGCCTAAACCTCATAGTTTACAGGCCACATCAGGCCTGCAAGTAGGGTTGCAAAATTATTGTAACTTTCCCAAAATTCCCTGATTTTCCAGAAATCCTGGTTGATGGGTTCCATATTTCCTAGTTATTCGCTCCCAATGCCACAAATCTTTCAACCGGGATTTCTGGAAAACCTGGGAACCCTACCTGCAAGTCACATTATGATGGCTTGCAAAGTAATGTGTAATTCCTATCAGAATCCAGCCAGAGTTAAGATGTCCAACAGTTGGGATTGTTATTCACCCGCAACCTGCCTTCAGAATGACAGCCAGGGTTAGGAATATTGTGAGGAGACTACCTAAGCCATTTAAACTGGACCAACCATTTCAATAACGGGTGCAAAAAATATAACTAACTGATTGGATTAGTTTAGAAAAATATATGCTATTTATCTTTGTGTAGCATAAGATCAATCAATCAATCAATCAATATACACTACCATTGAAAAGTTTGGGGTCACTTAGAAATGTCCTTGTTTTCGAAAGAAAAGCAATTTCTTTGTCCATTAAAATAACATCAAATTGATCAGAAATACAGTGTAGACATTGCTAATGTTGTACATGGCTATTGTAGCTGGAAACTGCTAATTTTTTATGGAATATCTACATTGCGGGAACAAGTATTTGATACATTGCCGATTTTGCTGGTTTTCCTACTTACAAAGCATGTAGAGGTCTGTAATTTTTCTTTTTTTCAGAGATGGAATCTAAACCAAAAATCCAGAAAATCACATTGTATGATTTTTAAGTAATTAATTTGCATTTTATTGCATGACATAAGTATTTGATCACCTACCAACCAATAAGAATTCCGGCTCTCACATACCTGTTAGTTTTTCTTTAAGAAGCCCTCCTGTTCTCCACTCATTACCTGTATTAACTGCACCTTTTTGAACTCGTTACCTGTATAAAATACACCTGTCCACACACTCAATCAAACAGACTCCAACCTCTCCACAATGGCCAAGACCAGAGAGCTGTGTAAGGACATCAGGGATAAAATTGTTGACCTGCACAAGGCTGGGATGGGCTACAGGACAATAGGCAAGCAGCTTGGTGAGAAGGCAACAACTGTTGGCGCAATTATTAGAAAATGGAAGAAGTTCAAGATGACGGGCAATCACCCTCAGTCTGGGGCTCCATGCAAGATCTCACCTCGTGGGGCATCAATGATCATGAGGAAGGTGAGGGATCAGCCCAGAACTACACGGCAGGACCTGGTCAATGACCTGAAGAGAGCTGGGACCACACTACGCCGTCAAGGTCCCCCCTGCTCAAGCCAGCGCATGTACAGGCCCGTCTGAAGTTTGCCAATAACCATCTGGATGTTCCAGAGGAGGAATTGGAGAAGGTCATGTGGTCTGATGAGACAAAAATATAGCTTTTTGGTATAAACTCCACTCGTCGTGTTTGGAGGAAGAAGAAGGATGAGCACAACCCCAAGAACACCATCCCAACCATGAAGCATGGAGGTGGAAACATCATTATTTGGGGATGCTTTTCTGCAAAGGGGACAGGACGACTGCACCGTATTGAGGGGAGGATGGATGGGGCCATATATCGCGAGATCTTGGTCAACAACCTCCTTCCCTCAGTAAGAGCATTGAAGATGGGTCGTGGCTGGGTCTTCCAGCATGACAACGACCCGAAACACACAGCCAGGGCAACTAAGGAGTGGCTCCGTAAGAATCATCTCAAGGTCCTGGAGTGGCCTAGCCAGTCCCCAGACCTGAACCCAATAGAAAATCTTTGGAGGGAGCTGAAAGTCCTTATTGCCCAGCGACAGCCCCGAAACCTGAAGTTATCTGGAGAAGGTCTGTATGGAGGAGTGGGCCAAAATCCCTGCTGCAGTGTGTGCAAACCTGGTCAAGACCTACAGGAAAGGTATGATCTCTGTAATTGCAAACAAAGGTTTCTGTACCAAATATTAAGTTCTGCTTTTCTGATGTATCAAATACTTATGTCATGCAATAAAATGCAAATTAATTACTTAAAAATCATACAATGTGATTTCGTCTCTCACAGTTGAAGTGTACCTATGATAAAATGTACAGACCTCTACATGCTTTGTAAGTAGGAAAACCTGCAAAATCGGCAGTGTATCAAATACTTGTTCTCCCCACTGTACATAGGCGTACAGAGGCCCATTATCAGCAACCATCAGTCCTGTGTTCCAATGGCACATTGTGTGTGCTAATCCAAGTTTATCAATTTAAAAGGCTAATTGATCATTAGAAAACCCTTTTGCAATTATGTTAGCACCGCTGAAAACTGTTGTGCTGATTAAAGAAGCAATAAAACTGGCCTTCTTGAGACTAGTTGAGTATCTGGAGCATCAGCAATTGTGGGTTCGATTACAGGCTCAAAATGGCCAGAAACAAATAACTTTCTTCTGAAACTCGTCAGTCTATTCTTGTTCTGAGAAATGAAGGCTATTCCATGCGAGAAATTGCCAAGAAACTCAAGATCTCGTACAACGCTGTTGATATGAGGTTTTTATAGTGTAATGATGTCATGTCATAGTATCGTGGGGACCAGGTTAGAGTTACCAGATAAGTGGCTTGGTGCCACGGAGTCTACATTCCTTATGTCAAAGGAGATTACTGATGTTTATGATAGCCTGATTGATGGACAGGATATTGGGGTAAAGAGTAATAACATCAAAGAATGGGAGTACCCATGATGATTACCAGATGTTCGTGGAGAGACTTGTAACAGAGTGTATATATAGAGAGAGTGGATATTTGTTCTGGAGTGAGGGAGATGATAGAGGCAAAGCTCTGTCCTTCTGTTATAATAATATATATAATATAATATAATATATATATATATAATAATAATATAATATGCCATTTAGCAGACGCTTTTATCCAAAGCGACTAACAGTCATGCGTGCATAATTTTTTTTTTGTGTATGGGTGGTCCCGGGGACGAACCCACTACCTTGGCGTTACAAGCGCCGTGCTCTACCAGCTGAGCTACAGAGGACCACATGGTTATAACTAACCATGGAACATATTAAATACTAATATGAACTCCCCATCAAAAGTGTCTAAGTACATCCTTACATCGTAACCTTGATACCTAGAAACCCATCATAACAGATTGGGTCTAAAGAACAGGAGGCAGTATACACCCAAACTAAAAGGTAGCAGACTTTCATTTTTTTATTATGTCAAATTCTGCTTATCTGTGGTAAGGTTTAGCTGTAACGGACTTTTAAAATTCTATATTTTAAAAGGTGGACGATGGGTGGTATTGAGTTGTTTAGTGGGATGTAAGGAGAATTATCAAATTAGACAATAATAGGGTGCTATGTTTCTAAGGGTTCGGTCAGAGTAATGACTAAAAAACCAACAGAGAAGAAGGAGAATGGGTGTAACAATAGTGGGCGTAGGACATTTTAATGTGTACTATGATAACATAGGTCAGAGATTCGAGTCCTCAACATGACGAGATTATACAGTGTACGACATTATGAAATAGAATAAGGTATTTTGGTACATAGGTTCGAGTCCTGTGTCGAAAGAGATATGGTTTGAGGCCATGATGAAGAGGTGCGATTCCTTGGTAGAAGGTTATAAAGGCCCTACAAGGTATTTTGGTGCAGGTTCGAGGCCTACGGTTGAAGGTTAAAATTATTCGGTTGAAGAGTACAGTCCTTAGTAAAAAGACAATACTAAAAAGGTTAAAAGTTGTGAGGTTCAAGTCCTCAGCAGACTTAGGGATAAATGTTAGAGCCCTTTATCATTATGGTTTGAGGCCATGAAGGACATGGTTTGAGGCCATGAATGTTTAAGAATACTGTGGTAGAACATTATACAATGAGGAGAGAATTAGAAAACGGAATTACTCAAAACGACCAGGAGATGGAGCCAATGCAATGTAACATATTGAATCATAGCACCAAAATGACATTTATAGGAACTACATTTTAATACAGATCAGGATGGGGATTTTTAATGTATGTATTTAATTACTAATAATTGCATGAACTAATAGTAATAATGAATGGCCAGCTTAGTAGACCGATATCTGGAGAAAAAAAAAGTCACCAGTAAGAGTAAAGCAGAGCTTCATTTAACTCGAAGTGAGAGACAGGAAATGACGAAATGATTACAGGCAAATCCACAGTTAGAATAAGTATTTTGTCAAAGTAATGTAAAGTTAAGTCATTTAATGGGACAACATGGGCGATTTTAGGAACAAAGAGCAGAAAATAATTTGAATCTGAGGGGTGCATAAGAAGTTACGATATATAACATAATTAATTCATAGAATATCAAGGAGTGGTATGGAGATTGTGAGGTTATTTTAGAGTGTAGTGGAAAGGTCTGTATTGTCTGGACAGGCAGGGCAGTGTCCGGGAAATTACAGTCTATTTTTGGTTACGCTGGGAAAATGTTTGAAGAAGTGATTTGTGTCGATTAAGAATGGTTAAAAACACCACGAAGGGATTATTTGATGTTAGTACCTAGAAGTTTCTAACGTTATATATGTATTAACTTGTTCACCCAAACGTAGACGTACGTCATGGGTGGGGAAGTAATTAATATGGGTTTTCTAAGTTTTTACTGTTGTTGGATCATATGATAGAGATAAGGAGTGGCGCAGTGGTCTAAGGCACTGCATCGCAGTGCTAACTGTGCCACTAGAGATCCTGGTTCGAATCCAGGCTCTGTCGCAGCCGGCCGCGACCGGGAGACTCATGGGCGGCGCACAATTGGCCCAGCGTCGTCCAGGGTAGGGGAGGGAATGGCCGGCAGGGATGTAGCTCAGTTGATAGAGCATGGCGTTTGCAACGCCAAGGTTGTGGGTTCGATTCCAGTATAAAAAATATATATATATGTAATCACTAACTGTAAGTCGCTCTGGATAAGAGCGTCTGCTAAATGACTAAAATGTAAATGTAAAAATAAGGTTTAAGGAATAAACTGACCATAAGTAATGTGGTTATAGACGTAATGTATAATATAGTACAAAGCCAATATAGGGTTTCCATTGAACTAATTATCAGGGTAGAACTAACGTAGTGAAGTGATGGAACTTCATTTTGTATCAGAGGGTAAGATGAGAAACCATTGTAATTGAGCTATTTGTGGAATTTATTTCTCATTTCAATGGCATAGAGTCAAATCTATATTTATGAGTGTAATTCAACTGCTGGTATGTGTTGCTTGAACAGATAATACAGAGTATTTGGTTTGGTGATGTTGAATGGAAGATTTGTAGCGTGTCTTGGTTCAAATAGAAAGACTCACTTATTTAACAGGTATAGAGAGACGATTGCGTGGTAGTCATTTTTTGGCGTTGCCTAAGGGTTTGCTAGATTACACGATTGAGAATGGTGGTGTAATGTCCATAAATAAATTGGATATTGATTAAATGGATAAATTCAATATATGATGGTAAAATACAACAAGTGTTTGGTGTTACTTCTAGCCTACTTAGAAAGGATATTTACGTAGATCTGATGTATTCTAATAATGGAGGATTGGTGATAAACTGAACCAAACATGACGTTACTACAGCAATTTAGGATGGTTAATGTTGTTACAATAGTTTTTAAACCCTACGATAGAGGTAAATGTAGAACGCTGTTTGAGAGTGTGTTTTATTTTGTCTACTAGTAAGAAATGGAAGAATTTCCATGTTTTGTGTCTGCGGGTGTTAACCATTTGGGCTCGCTGTAACGTGTGAGCGCTGTAAGGGACATTATGGGTTATGTTAGGTGTACAAGGATCAGTGGTTGCTGTGGAGAAGGAAGTCATAGGGGGTTGAATGTTTGGTGTGAAAGGGCTAGCTAGTTAGTGTTGAGAACTAGTGATGTTTAGAGTGGTGACGTAGCTTGCTATGCGACGTGGAAGTAGTTGCTTAACTTGCTTTGCAAGGATAGCGGATTTTGTGGAGCGACGGGTAATGGTGTTTCGATGGTAAATGTTGATGTGTGTAGAGGGTCCCTGGTTCAAACCCAGGTAGGGACAGAAAGCAAAACTTTTACATTGATGCTGTTGACCTAGATTACTAGGTGAATTGATAACATTATGTGAAAGGGATTGTTTTACCAACACATAGAGGATAGTATAACATATTAATCAAAGTTGCATAGCTGTGAAGAGATGTTTTATTTGTTTTGACTATAATTTTAAAATAATTTGTCATCTGTTAAAGGAACGTTAGATGGAAAGTCAGCAATAGAGAATAATTGAGATTATAGAGGGTTGTCTGTGTTTGAAAATAAAAGTAGGTTCAGTGAGTGTTGAGAAATGGTGAATTGTATTGTTTGATGAGACATGTTGAATTGATGTTGAATTGGATTGTTTTATAGACGGGTATTAAAATAATTCTTTATATTTAGGTGAATGAAAATATGTTATTAGGTAGTAGTGCTTTGTGGAGACAATTTACTAATGACATGATTCATTAATTCTAAAAACGATAATCTGTTATGGTACGTTGAACAATGGGATATAGTTTTTACTATTAGGATGATGGATTAAGTAAACATTGTTTATAAGTATGAAGTTATTAAACAATAGGTTTATATTTTAAAATATCAATGCAACAGGTTGCGATGATTAAATGACTAGAAAGGGGTTATAGGTTTATATTAGAAGGTGTAGTGAACTTAATGAAACGTGGTATTTTCTAGTGTCTTCTGAGTTTTTTTTCCAGGATTGATGGAAGTCTCCTATTGCATTATGTTAAGGGGAGAGTAGGAGACAACGTAGCAAACAATTTTTAAATAGATGCCTGGGATAAAATATCACGTCTTACTTATGCGGAGTACGTGATTGTATTGGTTAATGAATTAAATATGACATTTACAGGGGTGACAGGAACAATAGAAGGGGAAACAGATATTTCCTATGTTGTTGATCAAGTAAACGATAATGGATCATTTGATATGGGATCACATGGAGCAGATTTAGGGGTTCAATAATCATTGTGAGATTTAAAGAGGATATGATTTGAAGGGTAATTAATTAAACACAATCATTGTATACTCGAGGAACTTTGAGTGGTTTTCACCTTTTGAGAGATTTTATATAATATTTTTATGGAGTAGTTATAAGGAATTAGATACAAATGATTATTGATGAGATAAGACTGTATATCTGTATCATGTTTTATGCGTACTTACTATCTTTGGATTACTGATTGTAATTAAATGTTAATAAAATGTATAATTTCTCTTCCAGGAGAAAGGGGATTTCCTTATCCCATTGGAATGTTGCCCAGGGCTAGGGGGAGCAGTTTAGTGAAGTTAGGCAGTATTAGGTAAAAGGGAGCTACCAAATTAAGTAAGGACTGGCTATTTTTGTTTGTTGTTTTTCAATTGAGTTTTTCAAATAAACACACAACCCACCTAGGATGATGTTTATATAGGGTTCTTATTTTGATTGTACAGTTTTCAACAGGTCAAAGGTGATAAGTCTTAAAGGAGCACACACAGTGAATTGTATGAAGTTTTCTTTTCTTTTTTGACTGAGTTTTGGGTATACATGATTTCTTATGAGAATAAATGTAATGCGGACTTAATGTACACCTGGGGTACACAACATTTATGAAATGTTTTGAATGTTGGTAATGTTTAGTATACTATAGGATGGAACATTTAATTGAATGATTTCAATGACCTCTGAACTCTGTACTGACTTTCTAGTGTAATTTGATCATCCACACTGGAAATCCTAGAAACAAGGGCTGAGGATTTTAAGATAGTTCATTTTACTGAGTTGAGGATAATTTATAATGCTGAAAAGTGTGAAGAAGTTTATAATTTGGTAATAATATATGTGATTCGAACCATAAAATATCAAAAGAGAGAGAGAGCTTTCCCTGAATGAGGAATACCTGTTGCTAGTCAATTGTACTAATCTTGGATTACTTTACGGGATAGAAGTAAGTTGAGGTATTATCAAATGTTGTCATTTTAATTTAGGCAATCTTGGTGTTTTGTTTTTGAAAGCATGAATCACGTTGTGACTCGTGTTCAGAACAGGGGGTAGTAATGATGGTAAGAGGATTTATTGGCACATTTGCATATTGTAGTAAGAATATGAGCAGTAGTAATTAATGTGTTATGGGTTAGGTTAAATATTTAGGTGAAAATGTATTTGTGGTATAAGGTATAATGTAGTGGAGGCATGTCTATGGAAACAAGTGACTATAACAAGATCCAAGAATGTGCACTTCCTAATAGAGACTTTTCCTGACTGATTGATAAGAAGACTGTGTAAAGTAGCATATTGTGTATTACATTTTAGTCACTTAGCAGACGCTCTTATCCAGAGCGACTTACAGTTAGTAAATACATATTTTTTTATACTGGCCCCCATGGGAATCGAACCCACAACCCTGCCGTTGCAAACGCCATGCTCTATCAACTGAGCTACATCCCTGCCGGCCATTCCCTCCCCTACCTGGACGACGCTGGGCCAATTGTGCGCCGCCCATGAGTCTCCCGGTCGCGGCCAGCTGCGACAGAGCCTGGATTCGAACCAGGATCTCTAGTGGCACACTGCGCCACTCAGGAGTGTATCAACTAACAATGTTATGAAGTTTTCTTTCAAAAAGGTGAAGGCAACTCTGTCAACATGAAAGGAGAATCTGGGCATGTTCTGTGCATGGAGGACTGTGTGGCAGTAGAGGACTACAGAAGTAAGAGCTGGACAGAATCTAGGTGAAGTGGTTAGTACTAGTTGTTGCTGACTATCTCAATGGAGGGGACAGTAGTAGCAGAGACAGATTTGTAAATCTATTTGTCCCACTATAGGAGGTAATCAAACATCAGAGGAGGAAGATGGAACTGCCACTGTGGAACATTGTTTTTGTTTTTGTTTTTATGTTAATGTCTGTGTGTCATTGCAGCAGTGAATCTTGAATCCATATTGGTGCGATGCAAGAAGGACGCTACACAGAGCGATGTGAACAGAAATTGGGAAGTATATTAGAAATTGGTATTAAGAATAATTGTTAAAAAATAATAATTTGTCATATGGTAAATGTTTATATGGATTTATTGGATTAGAATTGAAATCAATTAAACTGTTATGTTTTATCTCCTAGTGAGATAAATACAGATGGTGTCTTGATGCATGGCAGGGATAATTTGGACTAGCATGGTGTGAACCTAAATAAATAAAAGTAACAACTTATGAACCGGCTGAAGATGAATATCAGAGGCGTTGAAGATGTTTTTGTAAAATACCACGTCTACATGCAACTGGTCTACAACAACCAATTGAAGATATCAAAAGATTTTCTCATGTTATTATCTCGAAGGAGTGGGAAAGGAGTCCACCATTGAGTGAGAAAGGAGAAACATATGTTCAAATGCAACATTTCTGATGTTGTGGGCATAATGGTTGGCAAATGGACAAGACAATGAGGTTGTGGAGTTGGTGGTGACTCGAATGACACATTGTAGTTTGACATTGTCATGGGCAAGTCATTTTGAAATGTGAAGATGTCTGAAGAACATAATGAAGAGACGCCAGAAGATTTAAGTGCCGGGGGAGAAAGAGGGGTTGCTTAGCTGTGTTGATAATAAAATTGGATTGATCTAAATTTGCTAATTTGGGTAGTCGGTATATACAGTAGGGAGAACAAGTATTTGATACACTGCCGATTTTGCAGGTTTTCCTACTTACAAACATGTAGAGGTCTGTAATTTTTATCATAGGTACACTTCAACTGTGAGAGACGGAATCTAAAACAAAAATCCAGAAAATCACATTGTATGATTTTAAAGTAATTAATTTGCATTTTATTGCATGACATAAGTATTTGATAAATCAGAAAAGCAGAACTTAATATTTGGTACAGAAACCTTTGTTTGCAATTACAGAGATCATACGTTTCCTGTAGGTCTTGACCAGGTTTGCACACACCGCAGCAGGGATTTTGGCCCACTCCTCCATACAGTCCTTCTCCAGATCCTTCAGGTTTCGGGGCTGTCGCTGGGCAATACAGACTTTCAGCTTCCTCCAAAGATTTTGTATTGGGTTCAGGTCTGGAGACTGGATCATCCAGATGGTCATTGGCAAACTTCAGACGGGCCTGGACATGCGCTGGCTTGAGCAGGGGGACCTTGCGTGCGCTGCAGGATTTTAATCCATGACGGCGTAGTGTGTTACTAATGGTTTTCTTTGAGACTGTGGTCCCAGCTCTCTTCAGGTCATTGACCAGGTCCTGCCGTGTAGTTCTGGGCTGATCCCTCACCTTCCTCATGATCATTGATGCCCCACGAGGTGAGATCTTGCATGGAGCCCCAGACCGAGGGTGATTGACCGTCATCTTGAACTTCTTAAATTTTCTAATAATTGCGCCAACAGTTGTTCCTTTCTCACCAAGCTGCTTGCCTATTGTCCTGTAGCCCATCCCAGCCTTGCGCAGTTCTACAAGTTTATCCCTGATGTCCTTACACAGCTCTCTGGTCTTGGCCATTGTGGAGAGGTTGGAGTCTGTTTGATTGAGTGTGTGGACAGGTGTATTTTATACAGGTAACGAGTTCAAACAGGTGCAGTTAATACAGGTAATGAGTGGAGAACAGGAGGGCTTCTTAAATAAAAACTAACAGGTTTGTGAGAGCCGGAATTCTTACTGGTTGGTAGATGATCAAATACTTATGTCATGCACTAAAATGCAAATTAATTACATAAAAATCATACAATGTGATTTTCTGGATTTTTTTGATTCCGTCTCTCACAGTTGAAGTGTACCTATGATAAAAATTACAGACCTCTACATACTTTGTAAGTAGGAAAACCTGCAAAATCGGCAGTATATCAAATACTTGTTCTCCCCACTGTATATATACTACTGATTGGGAATATTGTACTTTATATGAATTGTTGGGGGTTAAGTGATCTTACTTACCACAAAATAAGAAAAAAAAAAGTGGATTGATATGAGGTTTTTATAGTGTAATGATGTCATGTCATATTAATGTGGGGACCAGGTTAGAGTTACTAGATAATTGGCTTGTTGCCACGGAGTCTGCATTCCATATGTCAAAGGAGATTACTGATGTTTATGACAGCATGATTGATGGACAGGATATACTGACTTGGGGTAAAGAATAATAAGAGTGCCAATGATGATTACCAGATGTTCGTGGAGAGACTTGTAATAGAGTGTATATATAGAGAGAGTGGATCTTTGTTCTGGAGTGAAGGAGATGATAGAGGCAAAGCTCTGTCCTTCTGTTATAACTAACCATGGAACATATTAAATACTAATATGAACTCCCCATCAAAAGTGTCTAACTACATCCTTACATTCGTAATCACTTGATACCTAGAAACTCATCATAACAGCTGTGTACTACTCCCTTCACAGAACACCGCAAAGCCATATCTCAGACTGCCCATCTTAATCTTTTATTTTTATTGGCCAGTCTGAGATATGGCTTTTTCTTTGCAACTCTGCCTAAAAGGTCAGCATCCCGGAGTCACCTCTTCACTGTTGACATTGAGACTAGTGTTTTGCGGGTACTATTAAATTAAGCTGCCAGTTGAGGACCTGTGAGGCATCTGTTTCTCAAACTAGACACTCTAATGTATTGTCCTCTTGCTCAGATGTGCACCGGGGCCTCCCATTCCTCTTTCTATCTATTCTGGTTAGAGCCAGTTTGTGCTGTTCTGTGAAGGGAGTAGTACACAGCGTTGTAAGAGATCTTCAGTTTCTTGGCAATTTCTTGCATGGAATAGCCTTCATTTCTCAGAACAAGAATAGACTGACGAGTTTCAGAAGAAAGTTATTTGTCTATACTATATTTCTGATCAATTTGATGTTATTTTAATGGACAAAATAATTGCTTTTCTTTCGAAAACAGTAACCCCAAACTTTTGAACAGTGTACATGCAAAAACACAGATATAAAAACAACTAAAAAAATTTACCTGGAGCAGAGCATGCTGAGAAATATGATGATGATAATGATTATGGTACAAATGTGCCTTTATAGGGTACCACCCTAGTGACAAAGTCGTTAGTTATTTTTAGGTGGCAAAAAATCATAATTGTACCTTATGGTGGGTACAAATATGTACTTTTCTTCAATACATTGCTTTTATGCTAAGCAAAGGTACAGATCAGTACCATCAAGAGTTAAGGGTACACAAAATACGTTTGTACCCTGGGAAACAGAAATGTGTCTTCACCTTATGTTGAGAGTAAGAGTGTCATGATTGTACATTTATGTTCAAAATATTGGGTACAAAAATGTACCATTATACTCTTTATCCACACAGTACCCTAAAAGGCACTTGTAAGATCACATGTGTACCTCTGAAGGTACATAGTGTGTATTTTGATCTACTTGTACTCCAGGTAACAATATTGTACCCTTAAGAGTGTAGACGATAGTCTGCATTGTGCTCAGTAGGATTAGATATGGATGGAATCATCTATACTGATTCGGACCTGGTACATCAGGTGAGTGGACTCGAGCTAATCAACAGCATCATTAATCTATTAATTAACTACCAGGGGTACCAGGAAACCGGCAGTATAGACCTCAAGGCCTGGATGTGAATACCTCTGAGTTAGAATGTCTCTTTGTAAGTGTCACTCTCATTTCAGAGGTAACCAACAGGTTGAGTGTCAAAGGTCACCTACAACAGTGAATCTAAGTCAAAGGTCACAGAAACATAGACACACTGAGACGAGCATAAACAAATGATGGATAACACCAGGGTCACATGGTTTACCTCTGAGCTGGCAATGAGAAAGGCAAAGCAGGGTAATGTGGAGAGGATCACATAGACCAGGGCCACCGGCCTCCTGAGAGAGAGAGACAGACCGAGAGAGGGAGAAGGAAAGAGAGAAAGGAGCAATAGTCATAGGCTAGAGGTTATGAAAAAGGAAAATATTAATGCATTTGGAAATGCTCAATGTTGGCATGATAGATGTGGCCCGGCTACGGCCAAACAAATTGCAGGCCAGTCGAGTCAGACACAGCATAGCTACCGGTCAGGTTCACGCCAAACAGACCAGACAACCATTACTACACCACAAGGCTCAGGTCCAGAAAACACTGTGCTGGTATATTACAGCTACAGCTCAGACACAGCTCCTAGCATAGATTTCCAGCTAGGCCGCAGAACAGACAGACCAGATAGACCAGAAAGACACTCACCACTTCTTCCTGCCGACAAGGAACTTCTTATTTGTGAACACCATGTACTTCATGGGCACCCAGACCAGCAGGGCTGTGGAGGTGACATAGGCGATGGAGGAGGCCACGATAAGCCAGTAGGCGGTGCTGGCGTCGCCGGGCGGCTGCGCCACACTCTTGACCCGCGCCACGATGAGGGCGAACCTTTGCATGATGATGAAGAGCGGCACGCACAGGGCCTGCAAACTGCAGCACCTCGCAAAGGGCGAACTTCAGTGTCCTCCCCGAGGCCATGCTGTGGCAGCCCCTGCGCTGTGGGGAACCGAAAAAAAGAAAAAAAAAGAGGGAGGGAGGGAGAGAGGGGGATGTTGTCCGCAGTGAGGCGACCCCTGTCCGTCTGAGGGCTGGTCAGGCCTGGGCCTGGTGCATTGTCTGTGTCCACTAGCATTTTCCACACGCCACAGCTCCCGCTCGCTGCTCTGCCGTTTGCTTACACTGCACTAGGCATTGTGTATCTTTATCGCAGCTGTCATGACGGTGTGATGTGACTGCCCCGCTAACCTCTTTATATATGAATGTTGCAAACAATTTGTCTCTCTCTCTCTGGCCCTTCAAGGGTAATATCTTTCAGAAAGAGGGTGAAGACCGGGAAGAGATGTGAAACCTAGAGGAAAATATACCTATGGAGCAGAATCATCAAGGACCACGCCAAACACTTGCAGTCCCATGTCATTTAAAGGAGCAGTGAGCGAGCACGCTCTTTTTATCATTTGGCTGTCCTGTGATTTGTATGTTCGTCCTGCCATGACTACACATCCCCATCTAGTGGTACTCTGCAACACTCTGCCAGCAGTGTGGCACAACAGTGTTGGACTGCAACCAAAAGCCATAAAACAGATGTAGAGATTATGTATCCCCTTCCAGACCAGACAGAAATGAGTGTAGGGGAGACAGGAAGAGAAGAACAAGGGAAGGAGGGAGGAATAGAAAGCCTGGGAGAAGAGAGAGGAGAGAGAATATAGTAGATGGTTGTTGTCAAAAAGTGATTGATGGGCTTTGCTGTGACCTGTGTTTGACCCTGTTAATGACATCCTGTCCAGATGTTCTCACACTATCCAGTGAGTGCTTATGTAACTTGATGGTGCAGCTGTTCCTTTGAAGTAAAGCACCTGTTTGACATAAAAAGTAATGTCCTGGTGATTGATGTGTGGTGTAGTGACCATCTTGAATAATGTGTTTGAACATTTGAAACAGTTGGGAATTTTTGTAGTGAACTTATGGAGCTGCTGTGTAGTGAGCTTGTAGAATGAAAAAGTAATTTCCTGGTAATCTGCTTGAGTATAAGTAAGTGTTAGACTTGTCCTGTGACAAGTCTAGCACAGATAAACCACACAAAACTCTACAGAAAACATGTCTCCTAGACCAATTCTAGGTGTAGTGTGTCCTTCATGTCTGGGACACAATGACAAAACCATCGAGACCCTTCTTTGTGCTGCACCTGATTGTTTTAATGTTGTGATTGATATGAGTGAAGGCCATATTGGACGATTCAACAGTGAAGATTTTCACACACAGCTGCCTCAACAACCTTTTTCTCCTGCGTTTCGCATGAGAGAATGGCTTAACAAAATACTTGCTCTATGTCAATCGAACAGGCCCTCAGTGGAACATCCTTTCCTGGGTACGCATTGGGAGAGGAAGTCTGCGGGCAAGATTATTTGAAAGCCATACAAATTTCTTCAGTAGCATGTAGTCCAGACACCAAAGTGACGATTTTAGGTTGTTCTGAATTCAATAGCACAAATGCCATCAAATCTCTTAGTGCATACAGTGGGGGGAAAAAAGTATTTAGTCAGCCACCAATTGTGCAAGTTCTCCCACTTAAAAAGATGAGAGAGGCCTGTAATTTTCATCATAGGTACATGTCAACTATGACAGACAAATTGAGAAAAAAAAATCCAGAAAATCACATTGTAGGATTTTTTATGAATTTATTTGCAAATTATGGTGGAAAATAAGTATTTGGTCACCTACAAACAAGCAAGATTTCTGGCTCTCACAGACCTATAACATCTTCTTTAAGAGGCTCCTCTGTCCTCCACTCGTTACCTGTATTAATGGCACCTGTTTGAACTTGTTATCAGTATAAAAGACACCTGTCCACAACCTCAAAAAGTCACACTCCAAACTCCACTATGGCCAAGACCAAAGAGCTGTCAAAGGAAACCAGAAACAAAATTGTAGACCTGCACCAGGCTTGGAAGACTGAATCTGCAATAGGTAAGCAGCTTGGTTTGAAGAAATCAACTGTGGGAGCAATTATTAGGAAATGGAAGACATACAAGACCACTGATAATCTCCCTCGATCTGGGGCTCCACGCAAGATCTCACCCAGTGGGGTCAAAATGATCACAAGAACGGTGAGCAAAAATCCCAGAACCACACGGGGGGACCTAGTGAATGACCTGCAGAGAGCTGGGACCAAAGTAACAAAGCCTACCATCAGTAACACACTACGCCGCCAGGGACTCAAATCCTGCAGTGCCAGACGTGTCCCCCTGCTTAAGCCAGTACATGTCCAGGCCTGTCTGAAGTTTGCTAGAGTGCATTTGGATGATCCAGAAGAGGATTGGGAGAATGTCATATGGTCAGATGAAACCAAAATATAACTTTTTGGTAAAAACTCAACTCGTCGTGTTTGGAGGACAAAGAATGCTGAGTTGCATCCAAAGTACACCATACCTACTGTGAAGCATGGGGGTGGAAACATCATGCTTTGGGGCTTTTTCTGCAAAGGGACCAGGACGACTGATCCGTGTAAAGGAAAGAATGAATGGGGCCATGTATCGTGAGATTTTGAGTGAAAACCTCCTTCCATCAGCAAGGGCATTGAAGATGAAACGTGGCTGGGTCTTTCAGCATGACAATGATCCCAAACACACCGCCCGGGCAACGAAGGAGTGGCTTCGTAAGAAGCATTTCAAGGTCCTGGAGTGGCCTATTCAGTCTCCAGATCTCAACCCCATAGAAAATCTTTGGAGGGAGTTGAAAGTCCGTGTTGCCCAGCGACAGCCCCAAAACATCACTGCTCTAGAGGAGATCTGCATGGAGGAATGGGCCAAAATACCAGCAACAGTGTGTGAAAACCTTGTGAAGACTTACATAAAACGTTTGACCTGTGTCATTGCCAACAAAGGGTATATAACAAAGTATTGAGAAACTTTTGTTATTGACCAAATACTTATTTTCCACCATAATTTGCAAATAAATTCATAAAAAATCCTACAATGTGATTTTCTGGATTTGTTTTCCCTCATTTTGTCTGTCATAGTTGACGTGTACCTATGATGAAAATTACAGGCCTCTCTCATCTTTTTAAGTGGGAGAACTTGCACAATTGGTGGCTGACTAAATACTTTTTTCCCCCACTGTATGTATTTTCAAAAGCATGAAGACGGTGATTTGGAGACTGATGGGGGTGTCGGGGTACAAAAGGATGAAAATGCTGATTCTTCATTTTCTCTAAGAATGGAATGTAAAAAAAAGTATACATATAAACATGTATTGTGTAGTCATATGTAGTATTGTTTAATAATAATATGTATGATTCATATAAAGAAGAAAAATAAGGGGTTTTAAAATAAAATTGTATTTACCTTCAATGAATGACAGCTCTCCCTCTGTCTCTCCCTCTGCGTGTGTGTGTGTGTGTGTGTGTGTGTGTGTGTGTGTGTGTGTGTGTGTGTGTGTGTGTGTGTGTGTGTGTGTGTGTGTGTGTGTGTGTGTGTGTGTGTGTGTGTGTGTGTGTGTGTGAGGCCTGGTGTCAGTTACAAGCAGAGAGAGAGAGAGAGAGAGATCCCTGAGCAAAACCTTATTTTCTAAGAATGCATTTAAAAACAGTCTTTCCAACAGAAATAATGATTATACATAGAGTTGAAGTCGGAAGTTTACATACACTTAGGCTGGAGTCATTAAAACTCGTTTTTCAACCACTCCACACATTTCTTGTTAACAAACTATAGTTTTGGCAAGTCGGGTAGGACATCTACTTTGTGCATGACACAAGTAATTTTTCCAACAATTGTTTACAGACAGATTATTTCACTTATAATTCACTGTATCACAATTCCAGTGGGTCAGAAGTTTACATACACTAAGTTGACTGTGCCTTTAAATAGCTTGGAAAATTCCAGAAAATGATGTCATGGTCTTAGAAGCTTCTGACAGGCTAATTGACATAATTTGAGTCAATTGGAGGTGTACCTGTGGATGTATTTCAACGCCTACCTTCAAACTCAGTGCCTCTTTGCTTGACATCATAGGAAAATCAAAATAAATCAGCCAAGACCTCAGAAAAAGAATTTTAGACCTCCACAAGTCTGGTTCATCCTTGGGAGCCATTTCCAAATGCCTGAAGGTACCATGTTTATCTGTACAAACAATAGTACGCAAGTATAAACACCATGGGACCACACAGCCGTCATAGCGCTCAGGAAGGAGATGTGTTCTGTCTCCTAGAGATGAACGTACTTTGGTGAGAAAAGTGCAAATCAATCCCAGAACAACAGCAAAGGACATTGTGAAGATGCTGGAGGAAACAGGTACAAAAGTATCTATATCCACAGTAAAACGATTCCTATATCGACATAACCTGAAAGGCCCCTCAGCAAAGAAGAAGCCACTGCTCCAAAACCGCCATAAAAAAGCCAGACTACGGTTTTCAACTGCACATGGGGACAAAGATCGTACTTTTTGGAGAAATGTCCTCTGGTCTGATGAAACAAATATAGAACTGCTTGGCCATAATGACCATCGTTATGTTTGGAGGAAAAAGGGGGACGCTTGCAAGCCGAAGAACACCATCCCAACCGTGAAGCACGGGGGTGGCAGCATCATGCTGTGGGGGTGCTTTGCTGCAGGATGGACTGGTGCCCTTCACAAAATAGATGGCATCATGAGGAAGGAAAATTATGTGGATATATTGAAGCAACAACTCAAGACATCAGTCAGGAAGTTAAAGCTTGGTCGCAAATGGGTCTTCCAAATGGACAATGACCCCAAGCATACTTCCAAAGTTGTGGCAAAATGGCTTAAGGACAACAAAGTCAAGGTATTGGAGTGGCTATCACAAAGCCCTGACCTCAATTCTATAGAAAGTTTGTGGGCAGAACTGAAAAAGCATGTGCGAGCAAGGAGGCCAACAAACCTGACTCAGTTACACCAGCTCTGTCAGGAGGAATGGGCCAAAATTCACCCAACTTATTGTGGGAAGCTTGTGGAAGGCTACCCAAAACGTTTGACCCAAGTTAAAC